AAAAAAATTAACTGATTAATCGGAATAAAAATTTTGTAATTGAGCGCTTGGATTATGCCAACAATCAACTGATTTTCGATTATTATTGATTATTGGAACACCACTTGCTATATACCAAAGTTATACTGTCTTACCTGGGCTGATTTTATAAACCACAAAGCAATGAATCTTATTCATTTGTTGTAAAAATGTTGAAATTCAATTCTATAATTTAAAAAAAAAAAATCAGTTTCTTCATACATAGCACAGTATATATTAGTTAAATTTTGTCATTGTTTTTTTTTTTTTTGAAATTAATTCATTTGCGCAAAGACTTGTGATTTTTTTTTTAGTAACAACTCAATGAGTAGAGGTCTATAATGCAAATTGTTTTACAGTCTTCCTAGAAGTTTCATTTAGTAAATACATGTGAGGATTATTATCTGTACTGTGAATCTTGTTTTTTTTTTTTTAAACAATGAAAAAATTTTCGAGAGGAACTCCGAATTGAATATTCTGTTAAATTAGAAAAAAGTTTGCTGTCTTCACAAATCTTTAGATATACAGTACAATGATCTGTTAGAAAATACATTTTGTATGAAAAAAAAAATACGAGGAGATAAAGGCTTTCTTTTTTATGCAGGGATTTATTAAGCTGTTTTAATTAATGGTACTTACCAACTTTAGAAAAAATTCTTAAAATCCCTCTTTTAGTTCAGAAAATTCCTGATTAAACATATGTTACATTTAATATATATTTATTTATGACTATACTTCTAGAAATGATCCTCAGAATGCAGATTTGTGCAATATTTATTAGAAAAACTTCCAGGATGGCATGCTCCGTGACTCCCTTAGTGTATTCAGACCTCCAGTGCTAATACTGAGTCAGTTTAAAGTTTGTCATTAAAATTATCCAAAGAAAATCTATTGAACCTTAAAATTATGTTCTATTTTTAAACTTCTAACTTTTTAAAAGGCCACTGATCATTTAAAGTTATATTTACATGTTATAAAACATTGAATACAAGGTAATATTATTTCTTTTTATTGGAATATGAAGCACTTTCAAATTGGTAAGATCCTGTTATAGACTAAATCTTTATGCTTTAAATATTCACCTATACATTTGCAGATCATCATTGCTTAGAGCTTTATACATATAGTAATCTTTTCTTAAATTTATGTAAGATCTGATATGTTCCAAACAGTTCTAGCTTCATAAACATTGATTAAATCTAAGTTTATCAAGGACTTTAATCATTGTACCAGATCCCCTGTAACAATAAGCAGTACCTTTAGTAGGTTTGTGAATTGATTAATGGCACGTTCCAATGTAGTGATGTATCTTTTCTGGCTTAGACCAAATATCTGTAAATTTGTTGACATGAGAAGACTTTAATATTTATATTTGTAAGTGAATCTCAGACCATTCAAGTTTACCAACAGAAAATATAATGCTCCTTGGGCATTCTAGGCATTGCAGTTAGAACAATTGCAGTCCTCCTGTTTATTTGGACGATAAAAATGTAAATTAAGTTTTTCAAATTTGTGAACTTTTGTGGACTTCTAAAAGTTTTTCTTTCAAAGAATATTACAAATATGTTTTTACAAAATTTTCTCTATCTGAAAATGAGATTTTGATATATTGGATTATAGCTACTGCATAATTACTCGCCTGAGAGGCATGGTCGAAGTTTCCTCCACTGTGTGTAATTTTGCTAAGGTATCAAAAACGGAAATAGGGGCTAGATAGTTTAATTAGGAGGAAACAGAAAAATGCCATGTTTTTAGCTCACCTGAGCTGAAAGCTCAAGTGAGCTTTTCTGATCACATTTTGTCCGGCGTCCGTCTGTCTGTCCGTCTGTCTGTCCGTCTGTCTGTAAACTTTTCACATTTTCGACTTCTTCTCAAGAACCACTGGGCCAATTTCAACCAAACTTGCCACAAAGTATCTTTGGGTAAAGGGGATTCAAGTTTGTTCAAATGAAGGGCCACGCCCTCTTTCAAGGGGAGATAATTAGGAATTACTGAAAAAATAATGGCATCATTTAAAAATCTTCTTCTCAAGAACCATAGGGCCAGGAAAGATGAAACTCATGTGAAAGCATCCTTAGGTAGTGTACATTCAAGTTTGTTCAAATCATGACCCCCGGGGGTAGGGCGGGGCTGCAATGGAGGATCAAAGTTTTACATAGAAATATATAGGAAAAATCTTTAAAAATCTTCTTCTCAAGAACAGCAAAGCCATAATGAGTCATATTTATATGGAAGCATCCTGAGGTAGTGTAGATTCAAGTTTGTTCAAATCATGACCCCCGGGGGTAGGGTGGGGCCACAATGGAGGATCAAAGTTTTACATAGAAATATATAGGAAAAATCTTTAAAAATCTTCTTCTCAAGAACAGCAAAGCCATGATAAGTCATATTTATATGGAAGCATCCTGAGGTAGTGTAGATTCAAGTTTGTTCAAATCATGACCCCCGGGGGTAGGGTGGGGCCACAATAGAGGATCAAAGTTTTACATAGAAATATATAGGAGAAATCTTTAAAAATCTTCTTCTCAAGAACAGTAAAGCCATGATGAGTAATATTTATATGGAAGCAATCTCAGGTAGTGTAGATTCAAATTTGTTCAAACCATGGCCCCTGGGGGTAGGGCGGGGCCACAATGGAGGATCAAAGTTTTACATAGAAATATATAGGAAAAATCTTTAAAAATCTTCTTCTCAAGAACAGCAAAGCCATGATGAGTCATATTTATATGGAAGCATCCTGAGGTAGAGTAGATTCAAGTTTGTTCAAATCATGACCCCCGGGGGTAGGGCGGGGCCACAATGGAGGATCAAAGTTTTACATAGAAATATATAGGAAAAATCTTTAAAAATCTTCTTCTCAAGAACAGCAAAGCCATAATGAGTCATATTTATATGGAAGCATCCTGAGGTAGTGTAGATTCAAGTTTGTTCAAATCATGACCCCCGGGGGTAGGGCGGGGCCACAATGGAGGATCAAAGTTTTACATAGAAATATATAGGAAAAATCTTTAAAAATCGTCTTCTCAAGAACAGCAAAGCCATGATGAGTCATATTTATATGGAAGCATCCTCAGGTAGTGTAGATTCAAATTTGTTCAAATCTTGACCCCCGGGGGTAGGGCGGGGCCACAATGGAGGATCAAAGTTTTACATAGAAATATATAGGAAAAATCTTTTAAAATCTTCTCAAGAACAGCAAAGCCATGATGAGTCATATTTATATGGAAGCATCCTCAGGTAGTGTAGTTTCAAATTTGTTCAAATCTTGACCCCCGGGGGTAGGGCGGGGCCACAATGGAGGATCAAAGTTTTACATAGAAATATATAGGAAAAATCTTTAAAAATCTTCTTCTCAAGAACAGCAAAGCCATGATGAGTCATATTTATATGGAAGCATCCTGAGGTAGTGTAGATTCAAGTTTGTTCAAATCATGACCCCCGGGGGTAGGGCGGGGCCACAATGGAGGATCAAAGTTTTACATAGAAATATATAGGAAAAATCTTTAAAAATCTTCTTCTCAAGAACAGCAAAGCCATGATGAGTCATATTTATATGGAAGCATCCTGAGGTAGTGTAGATTCAAGTTTGTTCAAACCATGACCCCCGGGGGTAGGGCGGGGCCGCAATGGAGGATCAAAGTTTTACATAGAAATATAAAGGAAAATATCTTCTTCTGAAGAACTGCAAACTATGATTAGTCATTTTGATATGGAAGCATCCTCAGGTAGTGTAGATTCAATTTTGTTCAAATGATGACCCCCAGGGGTAGGGTGGGGCCCAATGGGGGAAGGAAAGTTTTACATAAGAAAATATAGAAAAAATATTTCTTCTCAAGAACAGAAAAGCTATGTTTAATCATATTGATATGGAAGCATCCTCAGGTAGTGTAGATTCAAGTTTGTTCAAATGATGACCCCTGGGATAGGGAGGAGCCACAATGAGGGATCAAATTTTTACAAAGGAATATATGGGAATTTTTTTAAAAAAATCTTCTCAAGTACAACAAAGCCATTTGTTATATTGACATGGAAGCATCATCAGGTAGTTTAAAATTCAAGCCCCCCCCCTCCCCCGGTCTTTTCAATACTGAACTGATTGTGCTTTTGCCTAGCCAATGTGCTCAGGTGAGCGATGTGGCCCATGGGCCTCTTGTTATTACATACACCCCAAACTGGAAAGGGGGGGGGGGGGGGAGTTAATGTAGTATTTGCTGTGTTTCTCTTTTGTACTGTCTGTCATAGATGTTGCAGTTTGTGTCTGTCATAAAATCAAATCAGGACAAAAGTCTCAAACATCTGATTGGAATGGAATCAAACTTGACCAATTGTGTTTTTTTTTCCCATGACCCAGCTAAAGGTTGCTAGAATCTTAAGGTCATCTCTCAAAGGTTAAAGTCACTTCGAAATGAGATACTGAAATCACCCCCGAGTTGTTTACAAGTTTTAGTACACTGTTGCTTATGACTTGTGTTGTTGCATTACCCACATGTTATTGTATTGATTTTAATTGATTTGGATTTTTCAGTAGGCTTAACATGAAGAAATTGATGTTGACATAAGGTGTAGCTGAAGTGCTTGTATATTTACACTATTTTTATTTCTTACTGTTGTCAAAGAAAAACTGAGTAGAAACTTCAAATCATCTTCAATTGCCTGTTGGTATGAAATTTAGCATCATCATTGTTAGAGGCTCTTGATGAATTCTGTATTACTTAATGTCCTATCTTTACACCTATTTTGTATTCTGTTGTCTGCTTTCATGATTTAAATCCCCAGTTCTTCTCTCTAGGACTAACGACAGGGGAATCAGAGCATAGGAAAAATCCAATACACATTCTATTGAAATCAGACACATTCATAAGTGAAAACAAATTCAAATTTTTGTTACATCTTAACTGGAATTTATAAACTCATGGACATAATTAAGATGAGAATATATGACTGTGTAGAATTATTCCAACACTTTTCTGTTTAGCAGCAGGAGTTTAGCAATGTTTGTGAATGTTCTGCTGTGTGTATTGAGCACCAGTGTTCTGTGGCAATGCCAGGCATACCCCACAGGATCACCCGGCTGTAAACAAGACGAGGCTCCCAAAAAAGATTACGATTTCGTCCCATTTCACTCAGGACCTGTAAACGACGAGAACCTTCCTTATTATGTGAGTTCCACGAAATCCGGAAAAGAATGGACAGGTTTGACAATTTTACATAAGATACAGTTGTACAGATACTATTTACATTAATCTTTAACCATGCTTGATATTTATATAAAGTTGATTATTTATCTTTTAAAATTATATAATGAGGAATTGAAAAAAAATTGTATATTAATTAGAAATTGAAAAAAAAACCATGCTCGCCATTATGGAATAATAAATATTAGGAACAGATTTTTCAATGTTTTTTTTTTTATCCCACAGTGAGGATTTGGGCTGAAAATAGTTATTTTAAGGGATTCCTCTTGCGTGTTATGGCACTGAATCCCTCTGAAACAGTGACAGGAAGCTATGTTACAATGCCTAGCGACACAAGAAGCTGTTCAGATACTGTAGGTACTATCACATATAGATACATTAGGTATGAATAAAGAATAGTCAGTTTTGAAAATTTTATGATGATGCAACTTAAGGGAAAGTATCTGGTGAGAATAAAATGATAAAAAAAATAATGCTTTCCAAATATGTTGAAAAGTTAGAAAGAAATGCCTTGTCATAATGAGCTGATGTACATGAAAACAAGTAATTAAGCTTTTATCTACTTTTTTTTCAAAGATATATTTCACACATTTTTAATAAATATATTTAGAATTTTTGACAAAGACTTTCAAAAAAAATTTACTGTACATGTACATAAATTGACGCATTCAAAATTTAGCGCAATCACTGGGTATTGAGTGTTTGGCATAATCATGAATTAGCGCTACACACGTTCGCGCCGAGTATTGTATTTATAAATGATTTATTAACGTTATTCATGAATTAGCGCATTGTTGTCCACGGCAAAGCCGCTAAAATATGAAGCCTCCTTTTTAAGTACACATACAGTATTCTTTGTTCATCAGTGAAAATGCTTGTAGACAAAATATTGAATGAAAATGTATTCTATTGATTACAGGATTTGATAACAAAATAAGGTATACAGATTTTTGAAAGTAAACAAAACTTTTTTTTTCAGTTTTTGTTCTTATTTTAATCCAGTGTTGGTAACCTATAAAATGATGATGCTCTTTTTTAATATGTTTTGTAAAAATATCCTTTTGAAATGTTTTATAGGATGCCACACACAGTAGAGCTGATACCAATCGCACGTCATTGACTTTTGTGTGGAAACAAAGTGATGAAATGTCAGGGGATGTTTATTTCAAGTAATTATATAATAAGTTTGAGGTCAACAACTTTAAAAGATATATACAAACAACAAAATGTGTTGTTTCATTTTATATAAAAGAAGACAAATTTAATTTTTTTCACTTCAGCTAATTTAAATTTAATGAAGGAAATGGAGTGAAATCTTGCTGATTCCAGAAAATGACTAAGTTTATTTTATGATTGGGGAAGCATGAAATTGAATTGTTTGATAACAGATGAATCTCAGTCATATAGAACTGCAGAAATAATCAAAGTCCTGTTTTGCTTGTATCTAATGAAGGAATTTCTAATGAACACCAATTCATATTCCTTACAGAGCTACTATAGTTCATAGTAAAACCACAGACTACAAAATAACCACTTCTTTGCCCAAGTCCTCAATAGTGCGAGATCCAGAATGTGGTTCATCTAAAGGATGCCAGTCTGACTGTCACAGTGGTACCTGTTCCTACCAAGTCACCTGGCAAAAAACCGCAAATCTGATGAGGTTTGAATTTCAACAGGATTTTGGAGCTGGCAATAAATATCAAGCTTTAGGACTATCAAGCGACCAAAAAATGGTAAACCTTATATTGTGAAATCACTAATTTTCATGGAGGTTTAATTTTCAATGTTTTTGAGGTACGAGGAGACCAACAAATTCACCATGAAATGTAAAATGTCACAAACATAACGAACAATTCTTCATCCACGAAATAAAATCCTCGCAAACCCATTGTTTTTCCCCAAACCAAGAAAATTTGATCCCATGAAAATACGTGATTTTACAGTTGATTAATGTTTTAAAACAGGTATAATTTATCTATAGAAAAAAGAGAGAAAAATTCAAGTGATATGATTAATATTATAAGATACAATAATGATGTAGCAACATCAGGTCTCATCTGTGCAATGTTTATTATTATTAGTGGTTTATTGTTAGCTAAAGATTTGATAAATGTTTTATCAGGGTAATGACAGTGTAATGGTTTGTAAGGCCTATGGAGGAAAGGTGGAATTTGAACAAGGATACAACATTCCCCAAATGTTTAAGTTTAGACCAGTCACCAATGTAAGTACTCCATTCATCTGTACATGTCATTGTACATTACATGAAATACTTCAGTCATAAAGCCTAAGTAATTTGCCATTATTATACCTCTGTTAAGGATACTCAAATTTGATTGGCTTGTTTGAAGGCTTTTAAACTCAATAATAACTCCAAAAAGTACTATTTACAGCAATAATGACCTAGGAATCATTGCATGTGGGATATAATGACCCGGTCATTATAAATAATGACTGCTAAAAATGACCTGTTAATCTAAATTCCATTCAAATTTAAAAATTAATGCATAAAGTAATGACTGTTCATTACTAAAATGCCATTATAAAGATATGTATAGTCTTTTTATGATACAGAATACGATTGTCCTTTAGATGCGTCATAAAATTTATCGTTTTCATTGAAACTTTCGTTGTACAATGAATGTCAAATTCAACAAATGCAGACTTGGCTCTTTTGTACAGTAAAAGTCTGCACCAGATGGTCATCGTACTGGGAAATAGTATTTGTGAATTTATAAAAATGCATGTTACTGACAATCACAGAGTGTTTAAATAAATTGGCGGTGCAAAAACTTACAAGACTTGCAGGCGAAAAGTAAACAACTTCACTAGCGGATCCCGATGAAACACTGATAATAACAGTTCGTAGGTCTATTACACAATTGATTATTTTGGTAAAAAGCCTACAAAAATTGTCTTAGCTTATATCGGTATAATACAACAATCGATTACCCCTTAAGAGGTCAACATGGTGAAATAAGGACCCGAGACCTGGCCCACTCGCTGACCTGACCTGACCTTTGCCGCTACGCGGCCTCGTTCAGGTCAGATCACCTCGTGGGCCAGGTCTCGGGTCCTTATTTCACCATGTTGACCTCATAAGGGGTAATTAATTGTATAGTACATTGTTACCATGACAAAGAGTGAGACTATCTTTGATGGACTTCTGGTACATCATTTGTTAACAATATTATGGAAGAAATGCAGATGAAATTTCTGATCCAGAGGTACTAATTAAATCGAAGTTACCAGACTTGAGTTTAGTAAGACAACTTTCTGAGTTTCTATCTGACATAGAGTCACTGAGTTAGTGGATATTTAATATTACCCTATAGGGAAAAATGCAACCATTGAAAATAAATATACATGTAGATCAAAATTTAGAAATACACAAGGTGTTGAACACCTGTATAATCTTTTAAAGCTGTATAGGTGTGTATCCATAAATGAGAATTTTCCTTTCAGCCAAACAACACAGGAATCAACGTTATAGAAACATCACAGGTAGACAATGTCATCCAATGTGTGATTGAGAGGCCCATTAACAGTACAAATCCAGAGGTCTTCACCTTATCTCAGCCATGGTATGTCCTCCATTCCATGGGATCTGTTTTGGGTAGGTAAAAACGTAATGCAGAATTTGTATTAGTAAATCAATCATATGAAAGATCTGTGGCATATTTTCCTAAATGTCTCTCTATGATATGACTACAGAGCTTATAAAGGCCAATAACCAAATTCATATCCATTGTTCATCAAAACATTGCTGAAATATTGCATTACGCAGCAGATTAAAATAAGTAATAATTAATATATACATTGCTTTATCATAAGTTCAAATTGATCTACTTAAAATTTATTTGAATCTTGTATTAATAAAAACAGATGAACAGTATATATTTATATAATCTGATTGGGATTTTATCAAAGCACCTCACATTTTACAATAGATGGCTACTGTATATCACCAAGCCTAGTTTTGACCGTTACTACTGTCTATGACTTTCGAATTTATTAGTGAATTGATTCCTCTACAAGCTCTAGGTTATTCCCCATGACCAATACCACACGGAGCTAATTACATACCTAAGCAAATGTTATAATATACACTGTATTTATAAACTTCAAGACTAGACTTTCTCACTTTCTGCATACTTTTTTTGTTACAAGCTTCAAATCAAAATCAAAATATCCATAAGCTAATGACAAGTAAACTATGTTTCTACATTAATTTTTAAAAAAAACAAAACAAAAGATTAAATTAACTTCTCATTAAGCAACTGATCAAATTTTATAAAGCTAGCCACTATTAAAATGAATTAATACATTGTATTAGTATGCTAAAGACATGTATGGCAGGGTCTCTCAGATGAACAACACATCTTATAGATAAATATAGTTAATAATACTCAGGATTAAATGTCTCTAATTTAAAGTGTATATGAATTAATGTCTTTAAAGGTGGCAACATTAGCTATCATTACACCACAAAATCAGCATCGTCCAATGTAGTGAACTTCTTGTCAGTTGGGGCTGTACAGACAACAGTCGTATCTTCAACTACGACATCTCACGCAGCTACCACAACAACACAGACTACGGTATATTTCATTTATTTTTTATGTGTTTCTGTTTTCAAGGACTTTTTATGCCCTGCCCTGAATATTGCCGGGGCATATAGTGTTTGTCATGTCCGTCTTCCGTCCTTCTGTCACATTTTGCGTTTAGCTCTGTTTAAAGCTCAGTTTCAAAGAAACTATCCAGGATATTTTTATCAAACTTTATATGCTAATAGATATTGATGAGAGCTATGCAACTGCATCAACATTTTTTGACCTTGACCTTTCTTTTGACCTTGACCTCACTTTTCTTAAATTAGTGTTTAGCTCAGTTTTAAAGATTCCATTCAAGTGTAATCATACTTCATATGTTGATACATACTGATGTAAACTATTCAACTGCATCAACATTTTTGACCTTGACCTTTCCTTTGACCTTGACCTCACTTTTCTTAAATTAGTGTTTAGCTCAGTTTTAGTGAAACCATTCAAGTTATTTTTAACAAACTTCATATGCTGATCAGTTTTACTGATGAGAGCTATTCAACTGCATCAACATTTTTTGATCTTGACCTTTCCTTTGACCTTGACCTCACTTTTCTCAATTTGTGTTAAAATGTTGCTTTAATAATATACCCTCGGTGGGGCATTCATGTCCTATGGACATATTTCTAGTCTTTTATGAAATGAGTTGTGAGAAGCCAAACATCCTTAGGTAAATAAAAAGTTTATTTTCCAGCAAAATATTTGAACAAAAATAACAATGAAAGGTTTGTTAATTTAACATGACTGTAATTTTCCCATGAAAAAAAATATATCATTTAGGCAAAAAAAAAAAGAAAAACCATTAATCTTTAGTTTCTTGGGCCAAATTTTTCAAAAAAAAAAAAAACAAAAAACGGTGCGGCAGGTATTTTTCTTATTTTTAAAGTAAGTGTGACCTCTTTTTTCATGTCAATCAAGAAAATGATGATATCAACTGTTTCCTACTTTTTTGTTCTCTTATATGAATTATAATATGTACAACTTTTAAATAATGTTATTCCAAACATTTTTATAAAAAAATGTTGATTCATAAAGTACTGTTGTAACAAGAACTATATTCTGTATCTAATAAAATCGTCTTTCTGCAAGATGTGTGAAAAGGGGCATAACTCAATCTTCTTTTTTTTTTTTTTGAGATAAAAAAAAAAATTAGTTATTTCCTTTTCATGTCAATAAAATTGATCAATGCGGCAGTGTTTGATCAGATGTCTGTGGTGCCTGAGAAACAAAAGATTTTTTTCTTTAGAAGAAGTGTGAAAACTTACTACTGTATATGCCTTTAAAGACCAGTTTTATTCATCTTTGTGTCTATGCAAATGAAAACAGATTGAGCAAATGGTGTGAACCACTTATTTACATATTTACAATTCGGTTATTTGAAACAATCTAATTGCAGTTGTTGACCAAGGACTGATAGGTGTTGTCACTATCCCAAAAAGATATATATATATATATATATATATATATATATATATATATATATATATATATATATATATATATATATATATATATATATATATATATATATATATATATATATATATATATCTTTTAGGGGGAGGGGGGCTGTATGATTACTTACTACTAATTTTGTCCTGTTGTATATTTGTTATTTTTCCTATGAGCTCACTTGGGATGCTTTAGAACTTGCTGGAAAGTTTCAAACAAAACACAGTAAAACTTTCTTACTCAGCCCAGAGACATTTACATTGTATATTATTTACGTCTATTCCAAACCATCTACTAGTGTCACTTATTTATAAATAATTTTAACAAGTTCTACTGAAATACTCTTATACCAATAGATTAAAAAACAACAGAATATGCAAATCCGTATTTTCTCATCCAGCAATGTTATGGATATTTAATTAAGTATGATATGTCAAAGTTGCCTATCCCTAGTCAGGGTTGAGTGAGTGACCTGTTTTTACTCAACATACACTTATTATTAGAATTTTCAAGCAACAATGATTAATATCTCCTTTCCATCTTGACCTCTTTACCTATCATTTTCAACATTTCAGTGGTAACTAAGTATACTTTTTCTTTAAAATTCAGACTTCTACATCTAACATTTCTCCTGACCCAGAATGTGGCACCACCAAAGGTTGTCTGGAAAGTTGTAGTGGTACCAGATGTACTTATATGATAACTTGGCAAAAGCGAAATGATTTAGTAAGATTTGAAATGATGCAAATGTCACCGGGAAATCAATATCAAGCCATTGGACTCTCAAGTGACGCCAAAATGGTAAGTCAGATATGAAATTTGATAATCAAAGTGGAAATTTAAAAATGTGGCCAACCACAAAGAGAATTTTCAAAGACATTGGGATAACCATATTTGATCTTGCATTTAACTTTAGTATGGGTAAGTAGTAGACTAAGATTGTTACTTTTACAATATGTTTCACCAATTTTATCCAAGGTTATATTATACAGTCAATGATGAGGATGGAAATTATTTTATTCAAATCCTAATTTTTTTTTTTTTTTTTTTTTTTTGAAAAGGTGAAATTATTGAGGTCTGAAAACATATACATGTAGTTTAGAGACTATGAATTCAATGCAGTGATTTAAAATAAAAAAAGATACTTGGGTAGGGTATTTGTCAGAGTTCAGGCATGCAGTGCTTTGAAATACACCCTGTTATATCTTTTCTACATCCCTAGTGTAAATGTTATATGAAAAGAATTTTCACAAGGTTTAAAGAAGTATGTATCTTCCATTTCTACAATACATACTAGATGATTTAATTGTAAACTTACTATTGTACTATATAGCCAGTAAATAGGGTTTAATATAACACTGGTATTAGTGTAAATGAATTTCAATGCAGATTTTATATTCAGTTCATACATTTTCCCATTAACATGACTATTCATAGTTTTTTTTACTTTACAATCAGCTGAACTCTTATGCATTTTAAGTGCAACTTAGTTGTTGTTTAATGTATAATTCAGCGACTATTTCACCATGGGCAAATGGCACTGAAACTATTCCATAGTAGGGGCTGTTTAGAAAAAATAGCAGGTTTATTCATCATATTTGTATAAAGAAAAAAAATTGCAGAGGTATGATAAAAAAATATATATATCCAGTGTACAAGCTCTTCTACAATTATTTTCCAAAAAAGTAAGATGGAGCCTATTCATTCATCCAAATCCATTCCTAGTATGACAAGTGTAAGATTTTACATAGTTACTGTAGATCACCATAATTACCGGTATAGGAAAATAAAGTTCTCATGAAAAAAGGTGATTTACAGAACTAACAATCTCATTGAGATTTAGCCCCACAAACTGTCTGTCAAACCCCTTTCTGCCTGATTCCGCCTTCAGGGGTGCTCTTGGATTTCCTGAATTGACCGAGGTAGCACACTCAGGGACTGCTTTGGATATGCTTTTTGTCAGGTTGTGTGTGGTTATACTGTACCTATTTTTGGATTACATTTGGTTTTTCTTTTTCACTTATACTTTTGTATGTATCCAATAGGGTGGCGACAGTGTGATGACATGTAAAGTAGACAGGGGAATGGTGTCTTTTGAACTGGGATATACCACAGGGACTTCATATTCCGCTCTTCCAAGTGTACGTATTATTTGTGCAAACCACCTATGTGTAGATATCCTCTCTTAATCAGCAAACACATAAATTAAATTTTCAGTATTAAAACTGAAAGAATTTTCAACAATTTGCTTTAATTGAAATCTTTATTTATCAGAAACAACCACAACTTGAAATAGGAAAGTCACCATTAATTGTTATTAGATAAAAATGACATGTACGAGGGTTGATACAAAAGTACTGTCACGGTGTCCATATCTTTTATTTGGCGTCATATTATCAAATATAATATACCAAACTATGCACATATTAAAATCTAATTAACATCGAATTTTTGCTTAAATAATATTAAATTAAATTGATTTTATAGATGTTTCAAACATAAAGCGTAGGGGGTGTCGCCGCGTCACAACTAAACGTCATGTTTTAAAGAGTATTTTTTAGACTGATAAAGTTGATCATATTAAAAAAGCATCTAAAGCACGCCTAATCGCCAAATAATTTTAAATGACAAAATTAACGTCATTTTCTAATGATCAGTTGAAAAATAAATGACGTCATTGCTATTTTTGATTATAAACATTGTGTTTTTACTCTGATGCATCGAACAAAGGAAGTGTCAAAATGGGCGGGGGGGGGGGGGGGGGGGAAGCATAATGAGCTGAAATGCATTTTGCATTTTTACTTCAAAATGGGGAAATCACCAGTAGAGACAGTTAAGTTGATTAATCAGACTCACAGTGAAAGGAATGTAAATAAGAGTCTTGTTTATAGATGGTTTCAGCGATTTTGGGGAGAGTGATAGGTCATTGAATGATTAGCAGAGGACAGGAAGACCGAAAGATGAGAGGTCGGACGGAAACATTTAACTGGTGTCTGATGTTGTCAAAAGACATGCGTGTACTGTTATGTACAGGGATATGAACACTTTGTCTTATTGTACTGTTTAAAGAATTTTGACAGAGGACTTAATTATGAAAAGAGTGAGTGTACGATGGGCATCAAGAATTCTTAAATTTCTTAAATTAATATTTTTTTCTTAAATTAAAGAAATTTGTGAATCTTGAAACTCAGTTATTTTTTATTGGGAAACGTTTGAATGTATGACGGCACGTAACCATTTTATGACATTATTTAGATGCGGCGACCACCCAAATCGCACTTTGTATATAATACAATATTTTTAAAAGTATATTAAAATCATGTTGAATTGAAATTTTCAGGCCTGGTTTGAAATAATTATAGCTTCCTTCAATTGTAATTTTATTGGTTTTATGTCGACTAGTAGTAATTTTATCGAAGTTGTGACATAACTTTTTGATCAACCCTCGTATGAATACAGTAGGGTATCGAAAGTCCATATACACTACAGGTAATTTGCCCTATTGATTGCCATGATATTTTTTTTTTTTTACAATACTCTCTGTTTTTATACATTTTATCCCTTTGTTGGACTTCCCAAAAAATAATGATTGGTATCAACTATAATTATTGAACTATATACATGTAATACTAACTCTGAAAAACCAAGGATATATAAAACATATATATACAAGTATATAACATGTAAAATATTGATGTGTTTCAAATATCAATATCAATCATGTACATTCATTTGGAGAATGATAATTAAAATACTGTCAAAAAAAGGTAAATTACATTTTAATACAAAAATCATGTTGCATGATTCAGGTTATATACTCATGTAATCTGCAATGTTTATTTAATAATATTAATAAAACTTGTAAAATGAGATTACTGTAGATTCCTTATTTTTCTAGAGTACTTATTATCGCAGAATTGCGTTTTCATGTCAAATCGTGAGAACAAAATTTCGCAAGTGGAAAGTTGATCAAGAGATTTTGAATGGAGTTTAGTATCATGAAAATAAAAGCAAGAAATTTTATTTAGCGATTGGCGTTTGTCGCGAAATTACGCGATAATTAATTCCTCGCATATATTTAGGAATCTACAGTACCACTCATAAAATACTTTTTTGAGCTGATTACAAGTGATTACACATGTACTAGTATGTAAAGAATATCACAGGGTTTTAGCTCACCTGAGCCAAAATTGACCAGTTGATCACTTTTCTGATCAAAATTTGTTTGTTGTCTGTGGTCTTCATTGTTGTCATGTAAGCTTTTTACAATTTCGTCTTCTTCTCCAGAACCAATATCATCTCCCCTTCCCCTCCCCTTCTCATCTTGCCTTTCATTTGAACAATCCTGAATCCCCTTCACCCAAGAATACTCTGTGCCAATTTAAAGTTGATATATTGGCAATAAATTAGAAAATGCGATTTTAATTGGTGTTGAAAATATTGCAATACATATCGCAATACATGTACAGTTAAAGATATTGTAATATATTGCAATAAGAAATCTCCAGCCAATACCCAACCCTATAAACAGGTTACAAGCTCTGTCACTGCTAATGCTTATGTCTCACCGGGTCTGTTTAATTAGTCAACTCTGCACACATCTCTGAGCATGGACTGACAATACTGGTGAGTTGGTTTTGCTTTCTCACATTTCTACCCTTAATTTGCTGGATTATAATTTTAATATTTTCATTAATACACAACAAAATTTCTATCTTTCTAAAGTATTAAGGATAAAGTTTGTGAAAGTGCAAGGATGTGTCAATTAAATGCGTACTGAAATCTGCAGTTTTAATAATCCAGATAAAAGAAGTTTCTGAACACACTTTTATTATATTTCTATGTGAAATGCTCTCACAACATATTTATAAATCATGATATTATACAGAAAATTTGAGAAAATATTAACTTCAAACCTGAGTCCAAGCCCCTTTAAAAATCTTCTCAAGAACGGCAAAGCCATGATAAGTCATATTTATATGGAAGCATCCTCAAGTAGTGTAGATTCAAGTTTGTCCAAAACATGGCCTGATGGGATAGGGTGGGGCCACAATGGGCAATGAAAGTTTCATGTAGGTTGGTTGGGGTTTTACATAAGAATATATAGTGAAAAGAATCCCTGATGAAGAACAGAAGACCATAGTTACTCAGGTGAGTGTTGTGGCCCTAGGGTCTATTGTTATAGTTTTAATATGAAAATGAAAATAACATAGTTTTTAAAGATTGTCATATGTGAAAGACATCAGAAATACATCTAGGTATTAAGCATACACACAGATATATATATGTATATGATGCTACCACAGTCAGTTTTGGTTTGTGTCTTGTGAGCAATTCCCCAAAGCAATCCTACTGAAGAGTGAAGACCCCAAAAGTATACAGCTTTTGGTTTAAAAGTGTATATTCTAAAGATTGATTAAATACTTGTAGTTAGTGGGGAGTGGAGTCAGCATCATAGAAACCTCACAGACTGCAGGCAGGGTGAGGTGTGTCGTGGAGCGGACTTTGAGCAGTATCAACCCCAAGGTGTTTAGTCTGACACAGAAGTGGTATCTACTGAGATCCACTGGACCTCTTGCAAGTGAGTTGTGTATGGGGGAACTCTATTGATATTCATAAGGGAATATAATTCTAAGTTCTATAGTGACCACATAAAAAGAAAAACAACAGGAAATATTTAGATTGTGATTGAGTATTTTGTTTGCTTTCCTTCTTTCAACATTAAAAATGATTGGGTATTGAATATGAGCTGAGCCCTATTCCCCTGCATGGAGGAAGAGGACTAAGTAAGAAACTGAATATGAGAATGATATATTTGGATTAACATTGACACTTTCGTTGTAGGTGGCGCTGTGACAAAACACAGTACGAGGTCTGCCAGCAGTTCCCCCGTGGACTTCCTGTCGACATCACTCATTACAGAGGAACAACCAGATAATCTCCTGGTCAAAATTCATGGTAACGGATTCTTATTTTCTATTGCAATTTGTAGATAATGGTACTTATACATTTGATATTGTCATATTGATATGCATGTTTTTTATATCCCTGTTTGTTGAACTATGCGTCAAACATTTTTTTCCCCAATATGGTAAGTAATCAATTTTTATAATACTGTTATAATCATTTTTTTCATAATCACACTAAGGATCCTTCATGATGATTGCGTGGGTGATGTTTTCAAGCATTGGAATTGTAACAGCGAGGTTCTTCAAGAATGGATGGGAGGGCAAGACTCTTATGGGACAAAAAGTGTGGTTCCAGGTGAGGAAAACTTTATTCCAGTTGCAAAATTAATGATTTGACGATATCAGATCCTAAAAGAAAAATCGGTCCATTTCTTTTTACTGAACAATTACTGAAAGTCTGTGGACCTTTTCTCAAAATACTTATAACTAAGACTGTCACAATATTTTTTTTTTTCATTTCCTCATAAAGTAATCAATAGTAAGTCTTTAAAAATCTTGCATTTTTATTACATGAGAATACATTGTATATTGGGAGTAATCTTCTAGAAAATATTATTACAGTGGTGCCTCGTTTATCCAGACGCCTCTGTCCCCAACGAAATAGTCCGGATAAATGAATCGTCCGGATAATTGAATCACATATCAAAAAGCACTCTCTATATAAGCATGTATATATGCACATTCTTGTTTCATATGTGACAGCAAAGAAAAAAAAAACTTTAAATTATATTTTGGTTAATTGTTCTAAAAGCAGTAATTGATTAATGAAAAAATATATTAAAATGTAATTTACACAATAAAAAAAATGGATGGCCAAATTTATGCCGAGACCTCCTTTTTTAATTCACCTTCTCTTTGACGTGACTTCATGGGTTGAGCAAATTTTGATCTACTGTTGTTTTATTTTGCCATATATTATAATTATTGAAGCTTATATGATATGACAGAACTGTTCAGCACCATCATTGAAAATGTTCAAATATAAACTAACCCTGTATATTCCCCGTATATTCATTACACGTACAGGGTTACTATGAAATTAACTGAGCACTGCAAACTAATCAAACAAAGTTTTAAAAACAATCGTAAACACAAGCCATCTTCATGATTATTAATATTATTTTTTTCTACAGACGCTAAGTTTGAATTTTGATCATTAAAAATACCTTGAAAAACGTAATCAACTTCTGTACGTAATGCCAGTTTTATATGTAATGGACGTTTGTAAACGGTAGTACATTAGATAGAGATATTTCTTCTATTATGTACCTTTCTATACTGTCTTGTGGGAAAAAAAGCGTTTCAAATACATTTACGTTTTTTAGAAATGGAACATCATATTTTAAACTAACACAATCGACATGATAAAGAGCATTACGAAATCGCTCGTTATTTATTGTTCATTTTATTTACAACTCTCCAAAATTCTCCTGAATTTAGCGATGTATATACGGTTAGCGGTATGATTTTGAATGGATTATTATGTAATTAATGCACAGTGTCAGCTAAATTCTTTGAGCTTCATAATAAAGATAAACGTGTGATTGAATTGGGGTAAACACACGCTAATTATAGACGCTATTGTTTGTAGGTCACAGGTAACCGCCTTCAAACTGACTGCATGGCCAATGTTTTTACAACAATTAACACGAATGCAAGATAAGTGTGAAAATGTTGTTTCTTGAAAAATTACCCTCCGGATAAACGAGTCATTTATGTTTTGTAGTAGAAATTGACCGTCTGGATACGGAACGCGAATTTCCGGATTAATGAGACAAAATAACGTGGAAAAAATCGGTTCCCAAAAAATATCGTCCGGATGGTGAAGCGTCTGGATAAATGGCGTCCGGATAAACGTGGCGCCACTGTATATTTATTAAAGAAAGAAATGACAGATTTGTCACGTTTTAATCTGAGCCGTAAGATTTTTTGTGAAAAGGGCAACTGATCCTTTTAAGCTTACCTGTGCTGAGATGAGCTGTTCTGTTCACCCGTTGTCTGGCATCCATCTGTCTTTCTGTCCTTCTGTCTTTAAGGACCCTCTTTACACTAATGGAAAAGATTTTTTTGATTTTGGATATTGAGAAAATTATAGTGGTTAAAGGTGTAAATATCAGTCTAGACGAACTCCAAAAACAGCGTTTCCGGAAGTAAGAAATTGAGACTGAAAAACACTCCGAAAAAAGAGTCCGCGCATGCGCACCCATACAAAAAATGGCGATTTTTCGGCAAAAATGAGGGGTCTACAAAAACTGTCCGTGCAAAGTTTTGGAAAGTATGGCAATTATGACAGTACTCAGAAATGCTAAATAAAAGACTTCGGAAGAGATCGTATTTGTCAGATTTTTAATTTTATTTGCAAAAAAGGAGATATTTACTTTCAAAGTTGACGTTTGAAGTCAGATTAATTACAGAGAAAATAATACGTTTGAGAAGTAAATATGCATAATAAAAGGGATATATATATGCAAAATGGGACAACATATATTGTAACTGTTAAAAACTTGACTGAATTTTACACATAAATTAGCAATCCGGTGTTTTATTTGTGTACGACATCTGAATTTAACATGTAAGTTCTTACCATCGTTATTTACCGATTTTTTTATCACATACGAACAAATATTATTGTGAAAACATTTTCATGACTATAATCTATCAATATGAAAACTTTAAAAACTGCTCTTCTAGAAATTAAGGTCGCAACATGTCTTCTAAAAATGAACCTGTGAATATCTCTGCTCCGTGGTGAAAAATACGCATTTTCTGATTAAAATAAACACAAGCTGGGTGTCTTCAAAAACAAATAAAAGCACCTTTATTTTAGGAACGACATAAAATTTAAATCAAGGGGACAATAAATCAAATAAGAAAATAATTCTTACCGGCAGTACTGAATTCGATGTCGTATATCCAATTTACTATTATGCAAGAGTTTGAAGCGATAGATACGTAAGTCAGTATCCACAAAATAATTTAATAAATGTTTCCATTCAACAAAAATTGAAATAAAGTCACAATGCACTAAATACAGCCATTATGCAGCCGTATATTTGGAGAAAGCGAACGACAATCCACCGTTTGTTTACATTAGACGCCATTTTACCGCAATGCATGATGGAGCCAAAGACTTTGTTTTCGGAGTTCACGCCGTTTTTGGAGTTCGTCTAGACTGAATATTGAACTTATCTATCACATTTTCAACATAGGGTACCTTGCATTAACCACCAGGAAAAATGTTCAAAGACAATGAAGTACCGATGAACAGAAATCACTGTTGTTTACTTATGTGGGCAAAATACCTCCAAATGAAGTGTTCAATCTATTCATCTTGTCCTATAAAAATGTCATGAATGCTTGATTTCATTACAAATTAAGTAATAAACTGTACATTTCAATTTATGTTGTTCTTGATCAAAGGGCAGATTACTCTATCTGCATGAAAATACCACAAAATCATAACTCTTTTGTGTGCACTCTTAAACTTTTCACATTTTTGACTTCTTCTCAAGAACCACATGGCATGTTTATCAAAAGTTGGGACAAAGCATCCTCATTTAAATGAGATTCTTAATTATTCAAATGAAAGACCAAGCTCCTTTTTAAAGGGGAGATAATGAAGAAAAGTCAAAAGTAGGGTTCGGTCATCTCAATGACCACTGGGTCAGAAAAGGTGAATTTGTAAGAAAGCTTTCCTAGGTAGTGTAGATTCTAAATTATTCAAATCATGACCCACAGAGGTAAGGTGGGACCCAATAAGGGATGAAAGTGTTATAAGGAAATATATTAGGAAAATCTTTAAATATCTTCTTCTTAAGAAATGTTGAAATTTATGTGGAAGCTTTCTGAGGTTTTGTAGATCTCCTTAACTAATGGCCCTTAGGGTAAGGTGGGCCACAATAGGGGTTTAAAGTTTCATATGGAACTCTATAAGAAATCAAAAAAAAAAATCCTATGAAGAATTACAATATAACCATTAATTTGCAAATATTTACAAGTTGTGTGGATTTTAATTTTTTTTCTTTCCAAATTTTGGACCAGGAGTTGGAGTGTTATCATTAGGATCAAATTTTACATAATGCATGAATATAGGGATTTTTTTTTTAGAAATTAACCTGAATTAAAATCATAATTCACCTTATTTTTTTTCAGATTCATCGAACATGTATGGTTTTAGTCTTTACCTTCACTGTGTCAGCCTTTGTTGTAATATTTGTGGATGTTGGTGGATATAGAGAGGTTTGTACATGTATCACTTACAAAAGAAGTAGGTTTTAGACTTTCAAAGCATTTTAGCCAGCATTGAATCTTAATTCATTTGTAAATCAATTGAATGGGTACATGTTGTATCTTCCATAGCAACTCCATAATGTATAATTAGTGCACCGTTATTTTTTATTTACAGGTTGTAGTAGAGGAGGGGAAAGGTTACCTAAGGTACCACCCTATACTGGGCATCATTGTCACCACACTTACTGTTATCAATGTAAGGTACCACCCTATACTGGGCATCATTGTCACCACACTTACTGTTATCATTGTAAAGTACAACCCTATACTGGACATCATTGTTACCACACTTATTGTTATCATTGTAAAGTACCACCCTATAGTGAAAATCATTGTCACCACACTTAACTGTTATCAATGTAACGTACCACCCTATACTTGACATCATTGTCACCACACTCACTGTTATCAATGTAAGGTACCACCCTATACTGGACATCATTGTCACCACACTTACTGTTATCAGTGTAAGGTACCAACCTATACTGGGCATCATTGTCACCACATTCACTGTTATCAATGTAAGGTACCACCCTATACTGGGCATCATTGTCACCACACTTACTGTTATCAATGTAAGGTACCACCCTATACTGGGCATCATTGTCACCACACTCACTGTTATCAATGTAAGGTACCACCCTATACTGGGAATCATTGTCACCACACTTACTGTTGTCAATGTAAGGTACTACCCTATACTGGGAATCATTGTCACCACATTCACTGTTATCAATGTAAGGTACCACCCTATACTGGGAAACATTGTCAACACACTGTTATCAATGTAAGGTACATGTACACCCCTATACTGGACATCATTGTCACGAAACTCACTGTTGTCAATGTAACGTACCACCATATACTGGGCATCATTGTCACTACACTTACTGTTGTCAATGTAAGGTACCACCCTATACTGGACATCATTGTCACCACACTTACTGTTATCATTGTAAGGTACCAACGTATACTGGGCATCATCGTCACCACACTCACTGTTATCAATGTAAGGTACCACCCTATACTGGACATCATTGTCACCACACTTACTGTTATCATTGTAAAGTACCACCCTATACTGGGCAACATTATCACCACATTCACTGTTATCATTGTAAAGAACCACCCTATACTGGACATCATTGTCACCACACTTACTGTTGTCAGTGTAAGGTACCACCCTATACTGGGCAACATTGTCACCACACTTACTGTTATCAATGTATACCATCCTATACTGGACATCGTTGTCACCACACTTACTGTTATCATTGTTAAGTACCACCCTATACTGGGAATCATTGTCACCACACTTAACTGTTATCAATGTAAGGTACCACCCTATACTGGACATCATTGTCACCACACTCACTGTTATCAATGTAAGGTACCACCCTATACTGGGCATCATTGTCACCACACTTACTGTTATCAATGTAAGGTACCACCCTATACTGGGCAACATTGTCACCACACTTACTGTTATCAATGTAAGGTACCATCCTATACTGGACATCATTGTCACCACACTTACTGTTATCATTGTAAAGTACCACCCTATACTGGGAATCATTGTCACCACACTTAACCGTTATCAAAGTAAGGTATCACCCTATACTGGACATCATTGTCACCACACTCACTGTTATCAATGTAAGGTACCACCCTATACTGGACATCATTGTCACCACACTCACTGTTATCAATGTAAAGTACCACCCTATACTGGGCATCATTGTCACCACATTCACTGTTATCAATGTAAGGTACAACCCTATACTGGACATCATTGTTACCACACTTACTGTTATCATTGTAAAGTACCACCCTATACTGGGAATCATTGTCACCACACTTAACTGTTATCAATGTAAGGTACCACCCTATACTGGACATCATTGTCACCACACTCACTGTTATCAATGTAAGGTACCACCCTATACTGGACATCATTGTCACCACACTTACTGTTATCAGTGTAAGGTACCAACCTATACTGGGCATCATTGTCACCACATTCACTGTTATCAATGTAAGGTACCACCCTATACTGGGCATCATTGTCACCACACTTACTGTTATCAATGTAAGGTACCACCCTATACTGGGCATCATTGTCACCACACTCACTATTATCAATGTAAGGTACCACCCTATACTGGGAATCATTGTCACCACACTTACTGTTGTCAATGTAAGGTACTACCCTATACTGGGAATCATTGTCACCACATTCACTGTTATCAATGTAAGGTACCACCCTATACTGGGAAACATTGTCAACACACTGTTATCAATGTAAGGTACATGTACACCCCTATACTGGACATCATTGTCACGAAACTCACTGTTGTCAATGTAACGTACCACCATATACTGGGCATCATTGTCACTACACTTACTGTTGTCAATGTAAGGTACCACCCTATACTGGACATCATTGTCACCACACTTACTGTTATCATTGTAAGGTACCAACGTATACTGGGCATCATCGTCACCACACTCACTGTTATCAATGTAAGGTACCACCCTATACTGGACATCATTGTCACCACACTTACTGTTATCATTGTAAAGTACCACCCTATACTGGGCAACATTATCACCACACTCACTGTTATCATTGTAAAGAACCACCCTATACTGGACATCATTGTCACCACACTACCTGTTGTCAGTGTAAGGTACCACCCTATACTGGGCAACATTGTCACCACACTTACTGTTATCAATGTATACCATCCTATACTGGACATCGTTGTCACCACACTTACTGTTATCATTGTTAAGTACCACCCTATACTGGGAATCATTGTCACCACACTTAACTGTTATCAATGTAAGGTACCACCCTATACTGGACATCATTGTCACCACACTCACTGTTATCAATGTAAGGTACCACCCTATACTGGGCATCATTGTCACCACACTTACTGTTATCAATGTAAGGTACCACCCTATACTGGGCAACATTGTCACCACACTTACTGTTATCAATGTAAGGTACCATCCTATACTGGACATCATTGTCACCACACTTACTGTTATCATTGTAAAGTACCACCCTATACTGGGAATCATTGTCACCACACTTAACTGTTATCAAAGTAAGGTATCACCCTATACTGGACATCATTGTCACCACACTCACTGTTATCAATGTAAGGTACCACCCTATACTGGACATCATTGTCACCACACTCACTGTTATCAATGTAAAGTACCACCCTATACTGGGCATCATTGTCACCACATTCACTGTTATCAATGTAAGGTACAACCCTATACTGGACATCATTGTTACCACACTTACTGTTATCATTGTAAAGTACCACCCTATACTGGGAATCATTGTCACCACACTTAACTGTTATCAATGTAAGGTACCACCCTATACTTGACATCATTATCACCACACTCACTGTTATCAATGTAAGGTACCACCGTATACTGGACATCATTGTCACCACACTTACTGTTATCAGTGTAAGGTACCAACCTATACTGGGCATCATTGTCACCACATTCACTGTTATCAATGTAAGGTACCACCCTATACTGGGAATCATTGTCACCACACTCACTGTTATCAATGTAAGGTACCACCCTATACTGGGAAACATTGTCAACACACTGTTATCAATGTAAGGTACATGTACACCCCTATACTGGACATCATTGTCACGAAACTCACTGTTGTCAATGTAACGTACCACCATTTACTGGACATCATTGTCAACACACTGTTATCAATGTAAGGTACCACCATATACTGGGCATCATTGTCACTACACTTACTGTTATCAATGTAATGTACCACCCTATACTTGACATCATTGTCACCACACTTACTGTTGTCAATGTAAGGTACCACCCTATACTGGACATCATTGTCACCACACTTACTGTTATCAATGTAAGGTACCACCCTATACTGGGAATCATTGTCCCCACACTCACTGTTATCAATATAAGGTACCACCCTATACTGGGCATCATTGTCACCACACTTACTGTTATCAATGTGAGGTACCACCCTATACTGGGCAACATTGTCACCACACTTACTGTTATCAATGTAAGGTACCATCCTATACTGGACATCATTGTCACCACACTTATTGTTATCATTGTTAAGTACCACCCTATACTGGGAATCATTGTCACCACACTTAACTGTTATCAATGTAAGGTACAACCCTATACTGGACATCATTGTCACCACACTCACTGTTATCAATGTAAGGTACCACCCTATACTGGACATCATTGTCACCACACTCACTGTTATCAATGTAAAGTACCACCCTATACTGGGCATCATTGTCACCACATTCACTGTTATCAATGTAAGGTACAACCCTATACTGGACATCATTGTTACCACACTTACTGTTATCATTGTAAAGTACCACCCTATACTGGGCAACATTGTCACCACACTTACTGTTATCAATGTAAGGTACCATCCTATACTGGACATCATTGTCACCACACTTACTGTTATCATTGTTAAGTACCACCCTATACTGGGAATCATTGTCACCACACTTAACTGTTATCAATGTAAGGTACCACCCTATACTGGACATCATTGTCACCACACTCACTGTTATCAATGTAAGGTACCACCCTATACTGGACATCATTGTCACCACACTTACTGTTATCATTGTAAAGTACCACCCTATACTGGGAATCATTGTCACCACACTTAACTGTTATCAATGTAAGGTACCACCCTATACTTGACATCATTGTCACCACACTTACTGTTATCAATGTAACGTACCACCCTATACTGGACATCATTGTCACCACACTTACTGTTATCAGTGTAAGGTACCAACCTATACTGGGCATCATTGTCACCACATTCACTGTTATCAATGTAAGGTACCACCCTATACTGGGCATCATTGTCACCACACTCACTGTTATCAATGTAAGGTACCACCCTATACTGGGAATCATTGTCAACACACTGTTATCAATGTAAGGTACATGTACACCCCTGTACTGGGCATCATTGTCACCACATTCACTGTTATCAATGTAAAGTACCACCCTATACTGGACATCATTGTCACCAAACACACTGTTATCAATGTAACGTACCACCATATACTGGGAATCATTGTCAACACACTGTTATCAATGTAAGGTACCACCATATACTGGGCATCATCGTCACCACACTCACTGTTATCAATGTAAGGTACCACCCTATACTGGACATCATTGTCACCACACTTACTGTTATCATTGTAAAGTACCACCCTATACTGGGCAACATTATCACCACACTCACTGTTATCATTGTAAAGAACCACCCTATACTGGACATCATTGTCACCACACTTACTGTTGTCAGTGTAAGGTACCACCCTATACTGGGCAACATTGTCACCACACTTACTGTTATCAATGTATACCATCCTATACTGGACATCGTTGTCACCACACTTACTGTTATCATTGTTAAGTACCACCCTATACTGGGAATCATTGTCACCACACTTAACTGTTATCAATGTAAGGTACCACCCTATACTGGACATCATTGTCACCACACTCACTGTTATCAATGTAAGGTACCACCCTATACTGGGAATCATTGTCACCACACTTACTGTTATCAATGTAAGGTACCACCCTATACTGGGCAACATTGTCACCACACTTACTGTTATCAATGTAAGGTACCATCCTATACTGGACATCATTGTCACCACACTTACTGTTATCATTGTAAAGTACCACCCTATACTGGGAATCATTGTCACCACACTTAACTGTTATCAATGTAAGGTACCACCCTATACTTGACATCATTGTCACCACACTCACTGTTATCAATGTAAGGTACCACCCTATACTGGACATCATTGTCACCACACTTACTGTTATCAGTGTAAGGTACCAACCTATACTGGGCATCATTGTCACCACATTCACTGTTATCAATGTAAGGTACCACCCTATACTGGGAATCATTGTCACCACACTCACTGTTATCAATGTAAGGTACCACCCTATACTGGGAAACATTGTCAACACACTGTTATCAATGTAAGGTACATGTACACCCCTATACTGGACATCATTGTCACGAAACTCACTGTTGTCAATGTAACGTACCACCATTTACTGGACATCATTGTCAACACACTGTTATCAATGTAAGGTACCACCATATACTGGGCATCATTGTCACTACACTTACTGTTATCAATGTAATGTACCACCCTATACTTGACATCATTGTCACCACACTTACTGTTGTCAATGTAAGGTACCACCCTATACTGGACATCATTGTTACCACACTTAACTGTTATCAATGTAAGGTACCACCCTATACTGGACATCATTGTCACCACACTCACTGTTATCAATGTAAGGTACCACCCTATACTGGGCATCATTGTCACCACACTTACTGTTATCAATGTAAGGTACCACCCTATACTGGGCAACATTGTCACCACACTTACTGTTATCAATGTAAGGTACCATCCTATACTGGACATCATTGTCACCACACTTACTGTTATCATTGTAAAGTACCACCCTATACTGGGAATCATTGTCACCACACTTAACCGTTATCAAAGTAAGGTATCACCCTATACTGGACATCATTGTCACCACACTCACTGTTATCAATGTAAGGTACCACCCTATACTGGACATCATTGTCACCACACTCACTGTTATCAATGTAAAGTACCACCCTATACTGGGCATCATTGTCACCACATTCACTGTTATCAATGTAAGGTACAACCCTATACTGGACATCATTGTTACCACACTTACTGTTATCATTGTAAAGTACCACCCTATACTGGGAATCATTGTCACCACACTTAACTGTTATCAATGTAAGGTACCACCCTATACTTGACATCATTGTCACCACACTCACTGTTATCAATGTAAGGTACCACCCTATACTGGACATCATTGTCACCACACTTACTGTTATCAGTGTAAGGTACCAACCTATACTGGGCATCATTGTCACCACATTCACTGTTATCAATGTAAGGTACCACCCTATACTGGGAATCATTGTCACCACACTCACTGTTATCAATGTAAGGTACCACCCTATACTGGGAAACATTGTCAACACACTGTTATCAATGTAAGGTACATGTACACCCCTATACTGGACATCATTGTCACGAAACTCACTGTTGTCAATGTAACGTACCACCATTTACTGGACATCATTGTCAACACACTGTTATCAATGTAAGGTACCACCATATACTGGGCATCATTGTCACTACACTTACTGTTATCAATGTAATGTACCACCCTATACTTGACATCATTGTCACCACACTTACTGTTGTCAATGTAAGGTACCACCCTATACTGGACATCATTGTCACCACACTTACTGTTATCAATGTAAGGTACCACCCTATACTGGGAATCATTGTCCCCACACTCACTGTTATCAATATAAGGTACCACCCTATACTGGGAATCATTGTCACCACACTTAACTGTTATCAATGTAAGGTACAACCCTATACTGGACATCATTGTCACCACACTCACTGTTATCAATGTAAGGTACCACCCTATACTGGACATCATTGTCACCACACTCACTGTTATCAATGTAAGGTACCACCCTATACTGGGCATCATTGTCACCACATTCACTGTTATCAATGTAAGGTACAACCCTATACTGGACATCATTGTTACCACACTTACTGTTATCATTGTAAAGTACCACCCTATACTGGGCAACATTGTCACCACACTTACTGTTATCAATGTAAGGTACCATCCTATACTGGACATCATTGTCACCACACTTACTGTTATCATTGTTAAGTACCACCCTATACTGGGAATCATTGTCACCACACTTAACTGTTATCAATGTAAGGTACCACCCTATACTGGACATCATTGTCACCACACTCACTGTTATGAATGTAAGGTACCACCCTATACTGGACATCATTGTCACCACACTCACTGTTATCAATGTAAGGTACCACCCTATACTGGGCATCATTGTCACCACATTCACTGTTATCAATGTAAGGTACAACCCTATACTGGACATCATTGTTACCACACTTACTGTTATCATTGTAAAGTACCACCCTATACTGGGAATCATTGTCACCACACTTAACTGTTATCAATGTAAGGTACCACCCTATACTTGACATCATTGTCACCACACTCACTGTTATCAATGTAAGGTACCACCCTATACTGGACATCATTGTCACCACACTTACTGTTATCAGTGTAAGGTACCAACCTATACTGGGCATCATTGTCACCACATTCTTTGTTATCAATGTAAGGTACCACCCTATACTGGGAATCATTGTCACCACACTCACTGTTATCAATGTAAGGTACCACCCTATACTGGGAAACATTGTCAACACACTGTTATCAATGTAAGGTACATGTACACCCCTATACTGGACATCATTGTCACGAAACTCACTGTTGTCAATGTAACGTACCACCATTTACTGGACATCATTGTCAACACACTGTTATCAATGTAAGGTACCACCATATACTGGGCATCATTGTCACTACACTTACTGTTATCAATGTAATGTACCACCCTATACTTGACATCATTGTCACCACACTTACTGTTGTCAATGTAAGGTACCACCCTATACTGGACATCATTGTCACCACACTTACTGTTATCAATGTAAGGTACCACCCTATACTGGGAATCATTGTCCCCACACTCACTGTTATCAATATAAGGTACCACCCTATACTGGGAATCATTGTCACCACACTTAACTGTTATCAATGTAAGGTACAACCCTATACTGGACATCATTGTCACCACACTCACTGTTATCAATGTAAGGTACCACCCTATACTGGACATCATTGTCACCACACTCACTGTTATCAATGTAAGGTACCACCCTATACTGGGCATCATTGTCACCACATTCACTGTTATCAATGTAAGGTACAACCCTATACTGGACATCATTGTTACCACACTTACTGTTATCATTGTAAAGTACCACCCTATACTGGGCAACATTGTCACCACACTTACTGTTATCAATGTAAGGTACCATCCTATACTGGACATCATTGTCACCACACTTACTGTTATCATTGTTAAGTACCACCCTATACTGGGAATCATTGTCACCACACTTAACTGTTATCAATGTAAGGTACCACCCTATACTGGACATCATTGTCACCACACTCACTGTTATGAATGTAAGGTACCACCCTATACTGGACATCATTGTCACCACACTCACTGTTATCAATGTAAGGTACCACCCTATACTGGGCATCATTGTCACCACATTCACTGTTATCAATGTAAGGTACAACCCTATACTGGACATCATTGTTACCACACTTACTGTTATCATTGTAAAGTACCACCCTATACTGGGAATCATTGTCACCACACTTAACTGTTATCAATGTAAGGTACCACCCTATACTTGACATCATTGTCACCACACTTACTGTTATCAATGTAAGGTACCACCCTATACTGGACATCATTGTCACCACACTTACTGTTATCAGTGTAAGGTACCAACCTATACTGGGCATCATTGTCACCACATTCACTGTTATCAATGTAAGGTACCACCCTATACTGGGCATCATTGTCACCACACTCACTGTTATCAATGTAAGGTACCACCCTATACTGGGAATCATTGTCAACACACTGTTATCAATGTAAGGTACATGTACACCCCTATACTGGGCATCATTGTCACCACATTCACTGTTATCAATGTAAAGTACCACCCTATACTGGACATCATTGTCACCAAACACACTGTTATCAATGTAACGTACCACCATATACTGGGAATCATTGTCAACACACTGTTATCAATGTAAGGTACCACCATATACTGGGCATCATTGTCACTACACTTACTGTTGTCAATGTAAGGTACCACCCTATACTGGACATCATTGTCACCACACTTACTGTTATCATTGTAAGGTACCACCCTATACTGGACGTCATTGTCACCACACTTACCTTTTTTCAATGTAAGAGAAGATTTCAAAGCAGACCTAAATCTCCCAATGTTTTTGAAATGAATAATTTGTATATGGTTTTTATTTCAGCCAATAATGTCTCTGTTCAGATGTGCACCCACAGACAGCAGGCGACCTATATTTTACATTGCACACTTTACCGTTGGAACTGTTGCACATATTCTAGCTGGTGAGCAAATAATTAAAATCAATTTTACAAAGGTCAAATATTAATATAATAGAAATTTCATTCACACCACACTTAATTAGAGACTTATACAATGTAAAAAATGTAATTTAATTTCAGCAATTACAGTATTATTTGGAATGAATATAGACAGGTCCAATCTACCAGCGGAGGCTTCATACATCATGTATGCTTATATAGCAGTCTTTGTTATGATAGAGATAACACTAGAACTGCTAAAACTCTGTCAGACACAAACTGATACTAGTAAGTGACGGCTTCTTACAATTAATTGAATCTTCAGAATACATATTAAGTGTTTGGAAAAAAGGAAATACAAAAACTTAACTTTAACTAACGAATATTAATCGCCACGAACAAAAATATTTTGCTATGTATTTGTAAAGAATGTTTCCTCAGTCGTGAAAATTAATCGTCACGGATTGATTTTAAACTGATGAATTGCGAATAAAAGATGACACGAATAATAGTTGGTTTACAGTATGGGAAAAAATACTCTGGCTAATGATTCTCGGCAGTTTACAAATATCATAAAATTATTTCTGTTGGATAGTCCAAAGCTAAAACTATTTTCTCGCTCTCAACTACTAGGTATTTCAGGTAAATGTGGGTTTAGAGTTTGTTTTTTTTTTATCTAGGTAGCCATGTTGCCATAGAAATGAAATACATTGCTGACAAAGATGAAAAAAGCATCAAGTTCGAGGAACGTCCTGTAAGTAAAAACATACCCTCCCCCCCCCCCCCCCCCCCCTTGATTACAGACTTGGAGATTTCATAAATGATATGGACTCCTGTAATCTAACAAATCAAATACACACACATTGTATTTAACAATTCATTTTTCCTGTATGTCCCACTTACTATTTTTTCCCTCATTTTTTTTCCTCATAAAACCAGTAATCATTCAAATTTTTTCCTGCATAATTCTCAATCATTTTTGTCCTAATTAAATTTTGTAGTATTATGTAAAATTTAAATGAACCTTGTACCTGTGGAGAGGGCTTAATTTTATAGGCAAAGCCTGCTGCCCAATTCATTGATGTTTTTTTTTTACATAATAAAATACCTGTATGTTTAACTCAAATGAAGTTTAAAAAAAATATGTACTATCTTGCATCCAAGTAGTTATTAATATATTTAAGACAAGTTTTCATTAAATTTATGCAAGTACAAATGTGAAGTAAATATTGCTTATTAATCTATTTTGAAAATGCATACCATTTCAAAAGATGTTACATGATGAATTTTATCATGTAAAAGATAATTACAAATCTGTCCTTCTATTACAGGTGATACGAAAGGAAATATTTCTGTATTTTCACATTTTACTTATGGTTGGGTTTTGTTCTTCCTTGGTTGTACTTTTGATAATGTCCTAGAGACCTTAATGTATAGTCCTACATGTATGTATGTAGACTGAGAAGCAGTATGTTGTTCTGACACTGAAGTGACCGAGTTACCTGAACAGGTAACAACAAAGGAAATGGTCCATATTTTATTTTTTCTAGTCAATACTAGTTTTAAATTAAACTCTGTCTCATTTCTCTCCTTTTTTTTCTTAAAAAAAATCAATTTATAATAAATAACTTATATTACGTTGTTTATTATACAGTAAAACTCAGTTATAGCGAAGTGTTGGGGACCTGTGAATTTACTTCGTTATATCCGTTTAAAGAATTCGTTCAAGTATATATAATGAATTCGCAATATGCATCTTTTCCTTCAAGTATGACTACCAAGTATGTACTGGGAGGTATTAAATACAAAATTTTACTAGGGGTTCTAAATATTTCTGATGAATGGAATTTAGATACTTATAAAAATATTGTCAGTTTAATATTTTGAATTTTAAGATATTAAAAATTTGTTACAAAAGATGTAATTTTCGTTATTTTTAACCTCTACGGGACAGAAAATCAGTTCCCTTTATCCATAAATTCGTTATATCAGAGTTCGTTATAACCGTAATATTTTCCTAGGATTTGTTAAGATTCAGTTGGGGATTCCAAAAAACTTCGCTATATCTGTGAATTCGCTATATTCATGTTTGTACTAAACGAGTTTTATTGTAAATTATTGTACATGGAGGAAAATACAAACATCACAATTTTGTCTACCTCCATTCATAAATTAAATTCAAACATCAATATATACATTTGTGGTATCTCTCTATTATATAAACATGCAGAGAGCAAATATCTTCATACCTGTATGAAGTTTTTCGAAGGTCATAGGTCATTACGTGACCTAATCACACAGCGCAGTAATATCTACATAAAAAGACTTACTCCACTAAGCAATATAGCATGTTTTTCATGCATAAAAATGTACAAAATACGCAAGTAAAATAATAATCATTTTATTTACAATGTAAACGAGTATTAAATACAGTTCTTAATCGATTTTACAAAGAGAATAGAAAACTACGTGTTATAAGTTTCATGTCTGAGCTGCATAGTCTCAACGTTTACCCTTATTTTTCTCGCAGACCTCTGAATGCTATAATTTTTTTCCATTAAACTTTACTCACAATAAATTTGAAAATCTGTTGAAAAATATCAATGTAATGCAATCACGCCACAAACAGCTGACAAACACTGCACCTCGGAAGTTCGGTAGGCACACCTCCATCATCGAGATCGTTGTGACGTTGTCTTAACAATGTAAGCTGTCGCCAGTGTCTCCGTGTCAACATCATAAATTAATAAATATGCCTTACCGAAATCGTAGATTTTATGTTTTGATCAAATTTTGCACTTGATTTCAAGTTATCTGGTCCGGACAAGTGTCTCCATCCATCCCTTTCCGACCGAAATTCCTCCAACTTTTTAGTATCCAACATCGGACGTGTTTCTTGTGTTTTTTAACATCGAATATGGGTTCTCATGAATACAAAAATTCCCAGACACCAATATGCTCACTATAATAATTGATCACATGTAGCCTTTCACAGAATATTCCCTTCAAAACAATCCTTTGCCAGATGAATTTGAAGAGTAACCGCTTTTCAAGCCGATTTACACCTAGCGTAATTTGTCAAAATCTACGACGTACAGTTAGTGCAATATTTATATTCGATTACATTCGATTGTCCGTCTCAAATGTATATATAAGTAATAAATAACAAGTTTAAAAACTTCAATGGGAATTGAAGTGGGTCGGTACGTGATCAAATCTTCTGAGAAGGCCTTCGGCCTTCACAGGATTTGATCACGTGACCGACCCACTTCAATTCCCATTGAAGTTTTTAAACTTGTTATTTATTTCTTAAATACATGTACATTGATTATTTTAATAGTCTTGAAACTTGCTTTGGTTTTAAAAATTGTTTTCCTATTGGTAGCTATTCTTGTGAACAGATACAGAAATATTTTATTTAAATTTGAGAGATTTTATGAAAATTAAAAGTATAATTTTTTACAGTTTATGTAAAATGATTTTTTTTATAAGTTTGTGTTACATTTCTATTAAAATAAATTTGTTTTATCAAACCTTGTTTGTATTTCTTTTAATGTTTTCTTCTTGGATTATATAATTCTAATGATGGGTTTAGAAAAAGTTAACACAGAAAAATCACCTCCATCATTTGTTCAACAGTTAATTCCGTCATATATTTACAAAGGACAAGATCTGATTCATCAAATTTATTAAATAACCTTAAAAGTTTCATTTGTGAATTTAAAGAAAAATGCATATAAAATGCTTCAGGGGCTACAAATAGATTTTTCAAGCATGACAAGTGCATGGTTAAATTTCATTTGCCCTACAACAATTTCTACTTGCCTGGGCAAAAACCATTAAATAAGAATAAAATAAGGATAACACTTCTGACCAAATAGTTTCAATTTCATGTAAACTATTGACATAATATTTTTATTTTTTTAACAATTGATTTTTTTTGTAGTCACTTGCCCATGGACAAGTGCCTATTAAGTATTCACTTGCCTGCCTCTAAACATCACTGGCCCCGGGCGTCGGGCAATAGGATTTGACGACCCCTGCCCTTTGATTAATATGTATAACCTCGTTATCTTGAAAGAGAGATATCCAAGGGTTCGACATATTTTGAGGGTACAGTACAAGAAGAAAAAGTGGTTGGGACTTGATTTAATCAGTATTTCATTATGTGAAGTCAAATTACATAATTGGATTGGACATCAGGCATAGCCTATATAAGTCCTCTCCAAGAAACTAGAAAAGAAAGAAATGAAAAGGAGTAATTATACACAAAAGTTATTACTTAGCATATATCCTCATTATACAATATAATGAAAGGAAAATAAAGAGTGCAACAAACAACAAAACTGAATAAGTAAATAAAGAAGTGCAAGAGACAAATATGCAAGGAAAAAATACATTCATAAACATTGAAATGCTGAGATTGGAAGTGAGTATAAATATCAAATTTAAAAAAAAAATGATAAAACTTAAAAATGAAATAATATCAATATCTCTTTGAAGACTTGATATATAGTTTTACAGCTTCAAGAATTGAACAATTCGTTATATTGGGTAATTGCCCATCACCAAACAGCAAAGTATGCAAAATTTGATCAGGAGAGAGGGTGTCTAATTCTACATGTATTATACTCTGAAGACTTTTAAAAAGTATCATTCTCTGATTATTATAGGCAGGGCATCCTAAAAAAAAAAAAAAGAAAAGATAGCTATCCTCGCTTTGATATCCGCACTTAGTACAAGATGCTATTTCACTTAAGTACTGATTAAACAGGTGAACATTTTAATTAAAAGATTCAATTCTTAGTTGACAAATGTGTAATGTTTTCCTTGCGGTTACTTGTACCATAATTAAAGACATTCTTTATTCTATCTACAATGGTTGAGACTTCCGATATACATGTATCCATGGCATTCGAGTTATCAATGTTACAGACACAAAATTAAAATGAAAAATTTAAATGAAGCACCTGTTTTACTTTCATAATTTGCGTTTCAATGCATTTAATCTTTTTTACATAAAACTTGTCACATTATCTGGTCAAGATCTAGAATGACTTCTTATGTAAAAATAATCCTTTAAAATTGGATCTGAACACGAAACAAATCATCCTAATAGGAATATTAAATGTTACAAAATTTGATTTTGTGCTTCATTAATTTGTGTTCAATAGACGGGTTAGCACAGATAATCAAATCTGAGAAAATCTCCTTGAGATAATTTGTTACTCTTTTTAAAACGACTGATTTAGAAAACACGATTATACTTTTCCTAATTTAACGCTTCTTATGTGTAAAAAAAAATAAATTTCCATGTGCCTTAAAAATTACAATATTTTGTCATTAACTTCTAAAGGTATAAATATTTCTTTTCCAAGCATAATTAATCAGTTGGTAAAATAATTCCGTAGATAGAATGTTGCATGATAAATCCTTTTACAGATTTGATTTTCTATGTTGGCACAACAAGAACTCACATTTATAGGAGAAGAGAAACATAATGGCATACACAGATATTCATATTTACTATTTTGTCATCTTGTTGGCTATCGTTGGTCAATGTGTTGGTAGACCTGATGGAGTTAAAGGATGTGGTACTTTCGAGGCTAGCTTTGTCCCTATTCATGGCAACTCCAGTCACAATGATAGCCTTCCTATTTATATAAGAGCAGACAAAAACCAGTCTGATTGGTCAGGTAAGTTACAGCTGAAAATCATGATCACGATGATACATTTTCCATTATTTTAATTTTTTTAACTACTACTTGATATTTAAAAAAATATTTTTTAAATTCAGGGTTGTGTTAAAACTAATATTGAAATCGTATCAATGAAGTCAGACTGTCATGTATGTGATATATGGATTTCTTGAAACGGACATATTTACCACATATACATGTAGTATATGTCAAGCGCAAAGAAAATAAAAATATCAATTAACTTATATATCTTAACTTTTTGCACTTTCTATAAATCGTTACGAATATCATTATTTTCTACCCTATTTTATTCTTTTAATTTTTTTCAGTCATTAAGCAGTTGAAAAAAAAGATTCTTAAAATGTTTACGTAGTATTGCTGTCAATTAATATTGCAGTGTTTATATGGACGAAAGGAACATTCTTTAAGGGGTTTTACCTTCGGGTGTTCTCAGTCCTAGACGGGGAGACAGTGTCAGGAAACTTCCAGGAGATGCCATCAGGAACTCGGGCTTGTTCCTCAATGGTGCGTTAACTTTGCTGAAAATTACTTTCTATTTTATGAAATAATACTTCTAAGTATAAGTTATAACATTCTTCTTTTTTTCCCCTGTTATCTGTCATTTGATTTCTTATTTTGACTGTATGCCAACATGGTGATGTCAATAAACTGAATTGAATTGAATTAATTATTAATTTTTGTGCCCCGCCATGAATACGACCAGGGCATATAGTATTTGTCATGTCGGTCTTCCTTCCGTCTGTCCGTCCGTCACACTTTGCGTGTAGCCCAGTGTCAAAGAAACTATTTAAGATGTTTTTATTAAAGTTCATATGCTGATTCATATTGTTGAGAGCTGTTCAACCGCATCAAAATATTTTGACGTTGACCTTCTTTATGACCTTGACATTGCCATTCTTAAATTTGTGTTAGCTCAATTTGAAAGAAATTATTCAAGATGTATTTATCTTAACATATACTGATACAGATGAGAACTTATCAACTGTTTCCATTTTTTAAAAACCTTGACCTTCCCTATGACCTTTGACTTTACTGTTTCATTTCTATTTGTTGTGTTCAAAACTCACTTTCAAAGAAACTTAATTTAAAATATTTTAATCAAGCATCATACACTAGTTCTTTTCATATCGCATGCTCAGTGAATTGTTCTTAATGAATTAAAGTTGAACATCATATTCAATATTTTCTGGATAAAACATAATTTCTTTAAATATTCACACAGCGGATAATTAAAAAAAAACACCTCTTAAACTATTTTCTTTATTCCTCAACAAAGGATGCTTGCCACATTACCAGCACAATGAATCATACATCTTTGGCATTTAAGTGGAAAAGCCATCCAAGTTTTCACGGAAACGTATATTTCAAGTAAGTCTCACTTTTATTAGATAAATTATCTGAAGGATATTTACTTATTTACCATATCAATCAAAATATTGACATCACTTTTGTAACTATTTAATATGCTGAATTTGAGTTTTTATTCACAAAAATATAACCCATAAAAAAGTAAAAAGGATAAAATAATTTTGGTGCGGACTTTTATAGACTTGGGGGTCGTAACATAAAGCTTGCTAAGTTTTTGACTTAAGTAGGGTCATAAGTATGTTTTAGGCGCAATCTTAAGACCTGCCTAAGTACTACTTAAGTATGTCTTAAACCGTAACATAGAACGGACTTAGCTAGGTCTAAGTAAGTCAAACTTATGTTAAAAATATGTTTTATCAATCATCCTAGTTTTTCAATTTATTTATATATGTATTTGTAAAAATGATTTAGTTACGTTTTTAATCACATGCATATTAAAGTTGACGTCCTTACCTATCGGTTTTAGCTAGGTTAGATTAGATTTCGTATTTAAATATAGTAAATTCTGTTTAAATAGTTTTGAATATTTGAAAACAAATATTGCACGGTCACAAAGTGGCACTAGTGGTTCATTGTAAATGCGTGAATATTGTTTATCACCCAGAGACTGCGATGTTTTCAGTTTACCGTTTGTTGTTATTCTTCCGTTTGACAAATGTTCACTTGCTTTCAAATTGTCATTCTCGCAGACATGGCACGATAACCGAACGTCTATGTACTTGAAATTGAAATTCTTAATAATAATGTAAAAAAAAAAAAAAAAAAAAACTAATAGGGGCATTTTGATTTTTTTCCCTCCCATATCAGCAAGCAGAGACTGCAGACTTTTTATGATATACTTATTTACAATTTAATGAAGGTTGGAAAATTATTGTTTTAAAAAAACAATTTTTCGTATATCTTCAACTTATCAAGAACTCTCTCTCTCTCTAGAGAGAGAGAGAGAGTTAACGGTAGTGAACCCTGTCTGAATCCTCGTTTGTTGCGTTCTACATTCAATCTAATTTACAGAAAATCTTTATTAGTTTTCTAGTCATCACCCTGTACTTCACCTACAATTTTTAACATCATTTCATTTCATTTTTTCACAGTGAACAAACAAATCCATGATTACTGTATACAACTTACTTATAATAATTAGTGTTTATAACCTAGGTCCCACTAATATTTCAAACGTATCCCAAAAATAATATTTTGCATTTACATGTATGTCATTTAGAGAGTGATATTGGAATAAATGATATATCTCCCCCCCCCCCCCCGGGTACGAAAAACCAAAATTCTTATACCAGTATATTAAATAGAGAAAATTATCTTTTAATGCATAATATTAATAAAGGAATGTTTTAACATAGTAAGTCTATCTTAAATAGTTCTAAATATGTATTTAAGAAAGTTAAGACATACTTAAGTCACCTCTACCGGCCGCCTAAGTTTTGCTAAGATTGTCAAATCTTAGCACGCTTCTAGTTACGGTCTTAAGTTTAAGACTGTACTTATCTCCTACTTAAGCATGGTCTCAGACTTAAGTACCCTTTATGTTACGACCCCTATGTCTATGTCTATGGCTATGTCCAATCCAATTATGAAAACGGCTTCACGTATTAAAATATTGCTCAAATTTAATCATAATAAAATAATTACCAAATTTGAAGTAAGTTGTGCGGTATGAAGCTAAGCATTCCTATTAAAGACACCAATTTTGATTCAAAATATGATTCTTTATTTCAAGTTAAAATTTTGGCGTAGAATTGTCTTACAAATTATACATAATCCCGAACTTTACCCAGGTAAAAATGGATATTAATGTTCTTCTGGTCAATATCAAATTATATTTACCACCTAAAACTCCACTATTGTGTATTGTTTTTAGAGCATCAGTTGTCATAAGCTACACACAAGGATACAAAATAATGACGACTCTAAAGGGGGATAACTCTACATCAGTCATAGAGGTATTTTGTTTGCCATTTCCAGTATTTGATGTAAATGTACGGAAGTAAACATATCTCAGTCTCTTTACGAGGGTTATCCATAAAGTTCGTGGATAATTGTTATAATTTCCTTAATAATGACCGCACTGGCAAACGTATGTATACGATAATATCTTAATATGGACCATATGCTCTAGTAAAAATATAAAAAATAAAAGAAATACACACTATTTTACGTGCATTATAGATGTAAATGCTTTATTGTGTATGCAACCCGCACGGCCCAGTCTGACGTAAAGCTAATTTCATAATAACGTCACAAATATGGATTTGGAATTTTTATTACATGTCCATGGACACACACATTTTCTTTATTATGTCACACTGCCAAGTGTGTGCAATAATATTTATGTATAGACCATAATTGATTTAATTTTTATAATTCAAATAGATACACGACAATTTTCGAACGTCAACAGTATAAACATTTCGTATACATATAGGCTGCGCAGCCCAGTCCGACGTTGCCCTAGATTATTTTATAACAAGGTCGTGGAAAGAGATAACATTTATCAATTTAGCAAAAGAGAATATTTTTATCAAATAACAGTGGTTTTCCACTTCTTGTAGTGTCTCCAGAATTGCACACCGTTGACAAACCGATAAATTTACCAATTTCAAATCAATGAACTAAATATATAACAATAATTTCAAGTTGTTTGAATAAATACTTTGTCTCTGACGTTGTTTTAACCATATTAAAACATAATTTTTATGATTGGACGCTGCTGCGTTCGGATAACCGACGTCGCTTTTTCTGTCAATTTTTGAAATATATTTCTTTAAGTTTTTCTTAATATTTTCACTATCTGTATAGTAAGCGATACTAAATATATCAGAAAATGACGATAACCGCTTATTTTGTGACACATTTACTTTTTGATAAGCTTTGACTTGCTTTAACCCTGGGCCATGCGCACTATCTGCGACCTTTAAAGACCGCGATTTTTTTTTTTCAAAAATATTAAGTTCCAACATTTAAAATCAAACTATTATGACTTGGATTTTTATAACAAATATTTTGGTATACAATAAATATATTTTGGACCATTAATTTTGACAAAAACGTCATTGTCCACGAACTTTATGGACAAACCTCGTATAATTAATTGCAGAAGGATCATGGTACTACAATAATAGAACGATTTCAAGAATGTGGTTCATCAATTGGATGCTTATCAAAATGTAATTCTGGATCGTGTTCACATTTGGTCACGTGGAAAAAGCGCGGGGATTTTGTTCGATTTGAATTTTTGGCGGATACGGAACTGCTTAGCAAAGATTTATATCTATCAATAGGATTTTCCAACGATGAATGGATGGTGAGTCCATAGTTCCTAATTCTTTTAGTTAAAAAATTCTCTATTAAAATGTTTATTTGCTGTCTTGATTAATGTATGTAGTGAAGTTATGTTAGTATTAAAAAGTTAACAGAATTGCTGATATCTAAAAATCAGAGATTTATTTTTATTCCTACAGGGGTTGCTGATATCTAAAAATCAGAAATTTATTTTTATTCCTACAGGGGGATGATTGTGTTATGTCTTGCAAGATCCACAGGGGAGACGTGACCTTTGAACTAGGGTCTAATATACCCAGCAAAAAAATCTATATTCCCTACACACTTGTACGTGAGACATTTCTAGCATTCTCTGAAAAGCTTTCATGGTATTTTGTTTTTTTTGTTTTTGTTTTAGTTTTACAAGCATCTAAAAAGTCTTGATTAAAAAAAATCACTTTCTCCTTTTTATAAGACGTCATGAAAATTGTTCGATATTACTATGGAGAGAGCACAAGGAACATATGCTTTCTTTCACAAGTACCCTTGTTTACGTATTTCAACGTTTCATTTTCAATTAAGGTAAATTCAGATGATGTTCTTGTGGTGGAAACATCGTTGGTTGGAAGCACGTTCAAATGTGTCGTGGAGCAGAGGATAATCAGTAAACACCCAAAGCTCTCAAAACTAAACCGGAAGTGGTATCTTTTACATGCTATTGGTCTGGTGACAGGTTTGTGTAAAAGTGATGTATATAAGTTGTTATGATTTTGCACAGCCTATGTTACAACGCGCTTTGAAAAATTACGCACTTTGAAAAAAAAAATCAAAGTGTGTTAAATTTGGAACCAAGTTAACGCATTGCGTTAATATCGACCATGTTAACGCACATTGAAAAAAAAATGTGCATGGCTCGGTCAATAATCAATATTCCTATTATGAGAAATACGACAAAATGGGGTCTAAGTTTGTATGATCTATGATCATTGAAAATATTTTTCTCGCACAATATGATGGCCTTTTTATAAATACTTGACAAGTATTTAGAAGTATGAAAAAATTGTTTATTCGCGCACAACATGACGCCTTTTTTTAAACTAATTTTTTAATACATTTATTTGATATGTATTGAGAGTATGAAAAACAATTTTATGCATTTTATACAAGTTTTTTTTTTAAATTATTTTTTATTTGTATTGTACTAGAGTTGCCCGGTAAAATCGTGGACAAAGCGTTTTTTTTTTTATCAAAAAATAATGGGCGCACTTAGCTGAAATGTGCAGCAAATGTTTACTAGTATTCATCATATTTAAGTACATCTTGTTTTAATATATAAAATATAGACAAAAATAAAGATTTTATAATACTTTAATGTGCGCAGGGTAAGGCGCACGATAAAAAAAAAAAAAAAAAAAAAAAATCAAGGTTTCATCAAAGAATACTCGAGTGTTATTTCGAAATAAAATTATTAAATATACAAGGTTGGGGTAAAAATTGTCATATTTTAAATCTAATTTCTATTATGTCATTATTTGGAAAATTTAAGGCATTTGCTTAATTTTTGGCAGTTTTCCGAGAATTTCAAATGGGAAACCGGTAAACAACACACGAAAAATGGCGACGTTTGATGACGTTACGGCGCACCGGAGAGCATTTCAGTTTGACTTAGATATAGTTATGACGCTCTAAGAGACTTTAAATGACTACAGAGGAGAATTCACTAGATCTTTAGTATACAAGTGAAATGGGAGTTTTCTAAGTGGAAGCTTTTTGATCGAGTCCCTAGATAGAACGCAATAGCGAAATACTCTGTCACTGTAGACCGTCGATATAAGATTGCCTATTTAGTTAAATGATGGTGAGAGTATTGTCCATGCATTACGTACTAATAAATCTTCAGAATGTTCCATGTTTGTGCGAGATGGGTTCCTCGACTGTTTTAAACGTATGGGAATAAAGGGGAACTCAAGTGTGTGTGTATCAATGAAATTCCCGAATTAAATTGGGGCTTATCCAACTTTTTTCAGCAAGGAGGAAACGTGACTCTGCTTTAGACAATTTGACGTTATTATCAGTGCGCCGTAAGGCGATACCACACATAGCATAGAATCTCATATTTTCTTTGAGAAATTTGCTATGTACATTGATGATAAATATACCTAAGAGTAGTGAAGATTTTAGAACGTAGTGATGATTATTTTTCACTCTAGACAACTTGTCCAAGATTTTACCAGACAAGCCTCGTATTTGATTTTGTAAAGCTACTTTCGCCAAAGTTAAGTCAGTTGGCTATTGTTGCTTAGATCAGCGAAATGGCCACTGAGTCTCTCTTCTTGAGTATGATAGGGTGCGTTATTATTTTTTTTTTTCAGGAAAGCTTATCTCAATTTTTTATCTATTTAACGTTAACTCAAATTTACTGAGAGAAAGTATATCAATGCCATACCAGTTATGTAAATGATTATACATATTTGGGTAAGAAAGATAAAGAGTTGGGCTGAGGGACCTTCTACCTGTCTTCTCCACGTTCTCGGTGAGGGTGGAGCAATTCATCAGTTTTTCAAATTTGGAAAGAAATATAACAAAATAATGCTGTTTATTACTAAGATCCAAGTCCAGAATTTTTGTTTTATACATATTTTTTTTTCAAAGTGCGTTAAGTGTCTCCATGGTAAAAATGTTGATTTACACTCATGCACTTTGACATTTTTTTTTTAAAGTGTGTTGGTCCCAGATTTAACGCGCGTTGATAATTTTTTTCAAAGTGCGTTGATTTTGTCCCAATTTTAACGCACTTTGAAAAATAATTTTCCAGGTGCATAATTTTGTCAAAGAGCGTTGCCACAAGCCGATAATTCTTTGTGTTGTAGAAAATTATTATTTTTTTTAAGAAAATGGTCTCCATTATCACAGCGAAAGGAGTGTAAGTGCAGAAAAGGTGGACTTTCTCAGCACTACAGTAATAGCAGAAGAAAATCCCTCCAGAGTCCTCCTCAAATTACACGGTAATATTCAAAGTAGAAGCACGTAAACCAGTCTACATTGTACTATTTTAAATTTCAAATTACATCTGAGAATGTTTAGGGAATTTCATTTTGCCTTGATGGAAAAAAAGCAATCTACTTGAGTATGTGAATATTTCTTATTATTTTACAATTATCCGAATAACAAATACTTTGAGATATGTACAGCTCTGAAAAAAGTGAAAATATTCTTTTAAAAAGTTTTCTTTCTTTGATATTGTACGTTTGAAAAATTAATTTTGTCTTTTGCCAAGATCGAGGTATATTTTATACTAAAAATTATTATGCCGTTTTTGATAGGATCTTTAATGATGTTTGCCTGGTTGTTTTTCGCCCCTGTTGGAATATTATCCTCCAGGTTATTCAAACAAAGTTGGGGTGAAAGAACAGTCTGTGGTCAGAAAGTATGGTTTCAGGTTGGTAATTCAAATACAAGTTTTTTGGAATAAAAATTTAACCGAAAATTTTCTAAATATCTGAATACGTTGCATTGAGTCATAAGAAATTTTAAGAATTAGTTAATAAATTTGATGCCATTGAAAAGAGCTTGAAAATTTGCATTTATTTCGATGTAACTTTCTTATTTTTATGACGTAATAACTCTGAAAATGACGTCGGAATCTCGAATGTTTAGCATACTAACAAGTCGCGTGTTTAGTCCACATGAGAAGATCGGAAAAGTGCTGTCAAAGGCTTCTTTGAAAAGATATTTCAAAGAAAATTTGTATTGAGGTAGAGTAAGACTAAAAGAATAGTACTATTTATCAGCAATTCCATATTTCATTTTATGGTTGGTTTATAAGCACGGTTTATGTCCGATTATGGTGTCATAGGCATTCATTTAAGATTTTTATTTATGGAATACAGCTGGACTTTCGGTTTATTATATAGCTCTCCATTTGATTAAACAAAACATGTTCTGCGTAAAACTGAAGTTTATCAATGCAGTTTTCCACAAATGTATCTTGAGTAACAGGACTCGTACCGTTTAGGAATAAAACGTACAAAAGTCTTCCCCCGGACTTGTTTCTGTGGGTATTTTTTCAACTTCGACGCTCCAAACCTCACTATTGCTTTTGACTTTCGCCTCAAAAAATGAATCTGAGTTACATTGCCATCTACAAACTTATTTATTTTCCATGAGTTAAAATTTGTGTAAATATTGAGTTACGGTGGGGTTACAACTACAACTACGTCGGTGCCATTTTGGTTTTACGAGAAAACATGGGGCACCCTAAACTTAACTTCTCTTGAGCTTTAATCGTTCCCACAAAATTGGTTAAAACACCTGACGAATTAATGCCAGCAAATTCCGTAACACCGTCCACTATTCTTCTTTGTTTGTCAACTTTGTCATTTTCTTACAGCTAGGTCTTTTTTACGCAATATTTTGAGCGAGATTCGATAATAACATGCCATGTTTGACACACGCTTAAACCTCCTCAGAACTATAGGATCTCCTAAATAAACACCAAATGATAGACTGTAGTCTATGTTAACATTTTCCCTACTGGCATTATTGTCCGTTAGCGTGCATCCGAGTAATGAGCAAAAGTTGACTTTAAAATTTTAATTCGCTGAAATTGTGTCTCTTGTTACGTCATTTTTATGGTCAGTATGCTAAACACACGGGATTCTGACGTCATTTTCGGAGTTATTACGTCATAAAAATAACAAAGTGACGTCACAATATGTGTACATTTTTCTGATCTTTCCAATGATATCAAACTCAATTATTTCCGCTTAACAGTTAATATTTTAACAAACAATTCTCAGAACTTTTCAAATTCCCTCGTATGTCAGTCAAAATACGACCAAATGATAGGTTGTATATGCAAACAAGGTCATTATAACGAGCGTAAAATTTTCGAAATGCTGATTTTAAAGCAGAATGTTGAAATCCCTGTTACATCTACTTATTTGTCAGTAGCTTGCCTTGGTTTAAAAATTTGTCAAGGTCAGACATAGTCTTGCGTATCGAATAAGTTAGGAGACATAACACCAGACATACAGGTGATAGTAGAAATACAGTAACTGCTTAAATATAAGGGAAGTTGACAATGGACAATCCGAGTTGTCATAAGGTTTAGTGGATAGTTGATCAATTATCGTGTATACAACAGTTAAAAAAACATCCAAATATGAAGCAGACTCTAAGGTGTCTATTTTGAGTTCTCTGGCATATTTTGAGTCTACATATGAGCGAAAGTAGCCATTGTTAATTGAAGCATTTTAATTATAATGTTGGATTCCTTTTAGAAAATCATTTGTGAAGCAAAATTTTATACAAGTGACCAGAGGGATGTTGAACCTCAAATAACAGAATGGTTTCCTTTCAGATTCACCGTACATGCATGCTGCTTGTGTTTATTTTCACAGTCACTGCTATTGTTGTGATTTTCGCTGATATCAAAGGATTTAGCCATGTAAGCATGATGTATGTAAAAGTCATCTGTAAATAAAACCTCTCAAGATGAACAGAGACCAGTTGATGATATTTAAACTTTTTCTTAAGGTTCATTTAGGCTCTGATAAGAGAGATAAATCTCACTGGAATAAAATGGCTATCATTTCTTTATATAAGCAAAATTTTATAAAAGTGGATAGGAACAATGAACATTACAAGCGTTTTTCCCTTTAATTTCAGATGGATATAAGTCTTGACTATCGAAATATACATCCTGTACTCGGGATTGCAGCAACATTCTTCTGTATTATGAACGTAAACAACTTTCTCTTTCTCTCTCTTGGATAATGTTTGATTCCACATAATTTGTTGAAATTGTTGAAATAATTTGTTGTTAATTTTTCTTTGCTGTAAATTTCATTTCAGCTTTGTAATGTTTACAAGCTACTGTGTTAATTTTTCAAAATTTTCATTTTTTTTGCATAGCTACTTATCTCCATGTTTCGATGTCCACCAGATGATAAGAAGAGGAGAACTTTTAACAGAATCCATGGGTTTTTTGGTCTTATTTCTTACGTACTAGCAGGTAAATTATTTCCAAAATAAATAACAGTACCTTATACAGAATAATGTGTTATATGTCTATTGTCTTCAATTCATTTTTATCTACCTGTGTATAGTTCTCAACATCGTGGTGGGAGCAAAGCTAGACAGAAGTATGTTTCCACCAGAAGGAAATTTTGTGATATATGGCTATCTGGCCATGTTGTCTGTTCTGGAAGTTGTGCATCAGCTAAAAAGGTTCAGGCAGGATTGCAGCAATAATGGTACACTTTATGTTCTTTACTTTTGTCCGAGGAAAAAATGGATATCTCATTGATCAATTATAAAATAAAATCATAATTTTACGATCGGAGACCTTTATTAATAAAGTGCATTTCAAACAAGTATTCACTAATGTAGGTTCTAGACAAAATAGCAAAAGGATGTAAATCTCATTCCAAAAATATATTTTTTAGACAAATTGCCTACTAAAAAGAAGGATAACGCTAAAGGGGAGAAGGTTTGTACTGAAATAAGTTCATTGCGATAGGTTGAACCTTAAGATGAATTAATAAATTAATGTGATTGTTTAATTATATACTAATCTACATGTGAAAAGTTTGAACACTATATTTATTATGAGATTTACGAAGAAAAAGTTTGTTGAGAATAAAGAAAAAATCGAATGGACACTGTATAAAATATTAAGAATGATTTTACTTTTTCAGGTGCGTGTCGTGGAGACAGGTCTTTACACACTGATAATTCTCACAATGGCGTCCTCTGTGTCTTTTGTCATTTTTCTGATGTTGACCTCTTAATTTAATGCTTTAAAGCTTATATATTTACATATATGTGATCACTTATCAGTCCTTTCTTTTTATAAAGCAATATGACTAGTAACATACGTCAAAATGCTGTGAATTTCATAGGATATCGCATTTAATTCCTATTCTGTTATGGATGTTTAATGATTCAGTTTTCAACATATGTCTAATTTCACATAATTTGCAACGTTGTATTCAGTTTGAAATACATTTTCAATGATAATTGAAATAATTATTTCAATATGGTTGCAGCGTTTTGTGTAGTTTGAAATACATTCTCAACCACAAAACAATCCATAGAGACAGTATGGAAGTCAATATATGGAAGTAACCGAGGCAAAGGCTATTTTAAATGATTTTTTCTCTCTCACTGCGCATAAAGGCTTCAAATGCAAGTAAATAACATACATAATATACATAAAGAAACATATTATAGATGTTACAAATCGCAAATAATTGCTTGCATCTATACATAAGTTGTCCGTAATCATACTGTTTTCTTAAGAATTACATTTTGTAAACTTTTTTCTTTCTTGCTTCTTTTTTTTTTTTATATATATAAATCTTATTTCGAAAGTTTTCTATAGACAAGTTTTCTTTTTTAAATATGCTTTTCATTTTGAATTTATAAAACGTAAAACAAATAAATGACAAGAGATTATTCAATTAAATTGTTTTGTACTGATTTCACTGTAAAATCTTAGCAGCAATATTTGTCAGGGAATTTTGAAACCCCAAAACAAACCAATTTTCTTCCAAATGTTTTCACAAAGCTTAATTATATAAAAGTTCAATGTTTTCAACAACCATACATTGTTTACAAAACAGTTTTACATCTTTGTTCCAATGACTTACATTTAAGTTATTGTTTAATATGCAATCCAATGATTTGAAGAGTTTTATTAATTTCATAGAAATCTGGTAAAAGGTGAAAAAAGACCGAACACAAATTTATATGTATCAACTTGTATTAAAAATACAGGCAATGTGAATAATTTTCCATGACTCAGCATATGTCCTTTGATATAGGCTAGATTACTGACAAATATCTCAATGATAACTTAAGTCACAAAAAAGTTTTGCCCAAAAATGATGCTAAAATGTTAGGGAGTGCAACACCTTTTTATGACATTTTGAAAATTTAATATATTTTGAAGATCTGTGAAATAAATAAAATGGTGTATGTTGGAAATAAACACTATCCTTTTAATGTCCAATATATTGAGCTTTAAATTTAGACTGTAGTAACTTTTGTTTGACCAAGTTTATATATATATAAACATATCAGATTATCAGATGTCAGGAGTGCAAAAAATAAAAGGTAAAATAGGATCACACTTTTGTGAAAAAACGTATGTAAAAATTCCTTTTTTGGCTTAGATTTGAAAAGTTGACTAAAAAGACAAAAGGTAATGTTTGGGCATTTATTGTATCATGTTACTTTCAAATTAGAACTTTTCAAACCAGAATTGAGACAATTAATGTAAAATATCGATCAAAAACCATTTTTCACACATAAACAAGAGAGGAAACTCAATCAAGGTCTCATCATTTCTATCCCTGACAAAAGTCTGAAGGATAGAAAAACTACATTTCTTTTGATTGTGTATTTCAGAAAGTCTTTAAAGATGTATGGGATGTGGAGAAATTGAACAGTAATAAAGCTCAAAAGTCCATTGAAACAAAAGAAATCGTTAGCAGAGCAAACAAGAACCTTTAAAAATCATCAGAAGTGGGATCAGGTGCCATGGAGGCATAAGCAACATTTGTCGACCGGTCACACCCGCAGTGTGCTTATTGTCATGATCGGGCAAATGGAAAAATCCGTAGACAATTCAGTGTTTAAAAAGTGGCCTAACAATTGGTATGAAAAACGTCAGTCAGCATTTGACTTAATGATAGATTGTATATGCTGACAAGGTCATTGTATCAAGTATAGAACTTGCGAAATGATGACTTTAAACGAGACTGTTGATAATCTTGTTTCATTAGCTTGTTGAAGAAATTGTTCGTACGCATGCTCTTGCGTATCGAATCAACTGGGAGATATATATCCCATTTACAGGTGATAAGGTTATATTTAAGCATTGAATCATTATTTTTTGAAAAATATAGTCTCATAACTGCAACGGTGTGTACAAACAAATTGAGTAAAGCGCGTTAGCGCGTTAAGAAAATTTGTACACACCGTTGCAGTTATGAGACTATGTCTTTCAAAAAATATTGATTCCGTGCTTATATTTACATTTTTTTAACTCCTTGCATTGACTGCAAATCTGGTTCTTATTTCAAAATCCCTGTATTATCCTTCGGGTAAGTTATAATTAATGGAAAAGCCGTTGCAACAGCTTCTGTTCAATGTGAGCGTGAATTTTGATTTTCGCTTATGACGTTGCACTTCTACGGCGTTCAACGTTTGTGACGTCAAAATAAAACGCATACTTTAACCTTTGGACCCTCTGTCCGTGTTATGGTGTTTTGAATGCCGTAGCTTTCCTCACAATTCATAAACAAAATACATGCTGAATGTAAGTATTGCTATGAAAGTATGTGAAGCTGACGATAGAAAAGTTGAAGTCATCACGTTTATCGTAAAGTTTTTTGTTAGGTTTTTTTTCTAGAATTACAGAATTGCTTGAGTGTGTAATACTTTTTTGCTTCTTCATTCTTTGTGTAAAATACCAATTACATCTATATCAGGTAGCTACAACTGTCTTTGGGTCTAATTATGCATGTAACAAATTGTAAGGCTAGGGAACTCTATTTTTAGCAGATTGGGACTTACCGCCTAAATAAAATGATCAAAAATTTGATATAAATTGTCCTAGCCTGTTTAGAGTGCCTCTAAGCATCAGTGGTACTTCGCCAACTATATCGTATATTTGCATACTCTCTGTTTTCTCCCACCATGAACCTGCACTCACCACTTGCATTCAGAGCACCATGAACGCAACTTCTTCTGCTACAAGTGCAGTTCATTTCTTACTCTAGCGCAGTACAAGCTACTCTACTTATTCAACACATTCAGAAGTATATATATGGAATGTTGTGCAAAAGGTATAAAATTTATTTTTTTTAATGGAATCCTTTGGGTAAAAAAGAAATTTTATATGATTAAGATTACTAATTGGAGTGTTTTTAATTATTTAAAAAAAATTCAGTCAACGTGTTTAATTGTAAAATAAAACTTTCTACAAATTAAACAGAAGTATATATCTTTAATTTATCTGTTCATTTTTACGCATATTGTTGCAAAGAACAATAACTCTTCACGCTAGGGTTTTTTACGTTCAGACAAAACGAAATTTCTGTAATTAGCCCTTTCCCGATAACTGCGGTACTACTCATTTGCAGGGCAAATAAATATAAAATACATGGTTACTGTCTTGGAATTTAACGAGGTTCGCTCCTGAGCTTTTGAGCAGATTTTTATCTTAACCTATATTTCAAAAATTCTCCATAATGTTTTAATTCTTACAATAAAATTGGATTCTACAATGCCAATTTAACTATATTCAGTTAAAACTCCATGATTAAAGTCCATACCAAAAGCATTAAGTGAGGAACTATATTTTGTGGCGGAAGGTTTTTTAGAAGAAAATGACCATTTTTTTCTCTTTCGAAGTGTTTAAAATATGTTAAGTTTGGATTCCTATTTTTACATGCAGTCTGCACACATAGTTATTTTGTGCAGTGGACTGTTTTATACTGGTCCTATATTATCTATTAAATAAACTGTCATGAATTCTATCATCATATTTGATAAATATAGCAAATATATTGTGAAAATGAAGAAAAAAATAGCCCTAATTTAAGCTTAAAATTAGCACTTTTTTAGTAATATCTAAAAATTAACATCACAGACCCCCACTTTTAATTTTCTTTTCTGAATATATACGATATTTTTAACCATTCTTCTTAAATTCATTAAAATGTCATTACTTTCAAATGATTTTTTTGCTTGTTAAATTTTTAATGCCAGAAAAATGAAAATGTTTGAGTGCAATAAGGTCAAATAATTGAACATGCGGAGTAATTTGAAAATTTCTTCGTTGTCACAAATTTTAATGTGTCTATTTAAGCTTAAATAAGATTGTTTTTGTTCCCATAATTTATTTGAATAAAAAATATTGGAGGAAAAACTTTAAAAATTGATTTATGTGTAAGATGTATTATCAGTGCAAAAAGGTCAAACTAAATGCTCTGTAGCACAAAAAGAAGCGCATTTACCCCCATTTTTTGTTTTGATTTTTAATAAAGCTATGTGTATAAATTCTAAAAATATACTTGATAAAAAACTCTCATTACTTTTGATGGCAGGATCCAATCTCCTTAAGCGATATTTGGGCGAGGGTAAGAAAACGTGATACAGGGCGAGGCTTGCCGAGCCCTCTATCACGTTTTCGACCAGAGCCCAAATATCGCTTATATTTCAAGACAGTCTCCATGTATTTTGTTTATCCTGCAACACATTTATACATGACCTCCAAAACGAACTGTTTTCAACCGATTTAGGTACATCTCTGCAGTTGAAACTAGGACGCCACGGCGTAAAAATTGCAATGTGTATGACGTCACAATGCTTTTAGAACGTCGGAATACATGCACGAGACTTTATTAGGGCATTGACCGAATAAAGCTTTGGTTTATTAAGTTACATTTATTAGGTCAATGCAAGGGGTAGTTGCAGGATAAATAACTTTTGGCGAAGTTTTTGATGACAGATAATTAAATGACGTATATTAAACAATTTCTTTTACGTCATATTTCACCAAAAATTATCATTTTGCCCTGCAAAAGAGCAGTACCGCAGTTATCGTGAAACAGTCTATAGTGTATCTATTTCAAGATCGATTTTAACTCTAGATCTTAAAAAGAATTTTAAAAACAGAAACATAAGAAAAACATTCTTAAGTTAAAATCAATATAAAAACATTCTCTTTTTTCATAATATTGTTATTTATAATTTTTCTCAGAGAGTTTCGATGACGATGACTTCATGACGCGTCACAACAACATCAAAACAAAAAATTAAGAATTTGAAAACGGCGCGATTTGTATCCAGATAACTGTGGTTAATAAGCAAATACCATATATATTGTATGTGATTTATTGGAGATAAAGTGGATAAATTATTATTAATCGGGTTTACTAATTTTATTGTCATGTTTTTCTTCACTGGAGACAAGCACCCTTGCCCTTATGCAGGCCAAGATTGCCTCTGATATTCTTGACATCACATAATGCAAATATAAGTAATAAACAACGATTATTCAGTGAACATGGCTAGCGCGCATCATAGAATATGCCAGCAGAGCAATTGGTATTCATAACGCCATGTTCACTGAATAACGCTGTTTATTTCTTAATAAAATCAAAATGGCTGCCAGATGTAAACAATAAATGCATTTTATATTTAAGTAAAATCTTTTATCCATCTATCATCTTTGCTACCCAAATGTTTCTGATCCTCCACACTACTCACAAACCCTTGGCCTATCATGCTATCAAAAGTGAGAATATTTTTCCGAGATATCATTGGAGTTTATAAATAAATTCGACCGATCAGGGAGTATATTGCAAAGCTGTAGTGAATGCTGATATCTTCATTTGGGACTTTTCTGGACTCTAGAGTCTTGGGAATATAGAAGACATGTTTGTTTGTTTGTTGTTTAACGTCCCTCTCGAGAATTGTTCACTCATATGGAGACGCCACCACTTGCCGGCGGAGAACTGCAAATTTTGACTTATACTCGGCACTCAAGGCCATTGAGCAGTGGTGGATCTTTTTCGTGCCAGCACCCACTGCGATACGGGACCTCGTTTTATACGGTCTCATCCGAAGGACCGGTCTCTACGTCCCACAGTGGTATTCGAACCCGCGACGTTAGGATCAACTCCTTACTCCACGACTCTAGAGCAAGCACTCTAACCACTGTGCCAAGCGGACGACTAAAAAGACATGTAAGCAATGATCTAATTTTATAAATAGTTATGGTGTCATCTAACTTTTTGTTCATGTGCACGTTATTTTGAATGTATATTGCAGTGATAGACTAGCATTCTAAATAATAAATAAACATCGCTTAATACCTGCTTGTTACTTATTCTTAATTTAAATTCTTTAATTTTTAAAAAATGCTCTTTTTTCGGTCAGTGACGCAAGGTGTGTGTATGAGGTAAGATTCTGGCGAAAACCCCATGGGATTTTGGCGAAAACCCCATGAGAACTAAGATACATAGGTTGCAAAGGGTTTACAAACGATCAAAACATACATATCTATGCTAATAATATGGGTCGGGGGTGCATCACATAACATGATATTGGAGCAATTTCTATGATTGATAAAATAAAATATTAATGCATATTCCCGAGTGTGATGACAATCTGTGGTCCGTAATAATACGATAGCACAATGTTAACTACATATTCCAGAGCAACAATGCCCCAGTACATAGAACACTTGTAGTCCAAGATTTCTGCAGAGATATGCAATCTAAGTTTATGAACTGGCAAACCTTGAGCTCTGACCTCACGTCATTGAGTCATTACATGGATCTAACTATCTCCAGACATTTCATCTCCCTAATCAGCAAAAGGAGATAAATCTTCTTACTCCGACGAACAGGTTTTCAGCCACTGTCCTCTCTTCTTAGGCATAACCAGCTGATACCTCTGAGGTGCTATGATTATAGTGCTGACTGCTCTCCTCCTCTTCACCACTCAATCGTGGTGCTGCCTTCATCCTCCAGAATAACCAGGTTCCCCACTTTTACTTGGGAGTTCCACATCTGCCATCTTGCTTTCCTACAATTGGTTTACAGATTGTTATACTTTGCATGTTAAGTTCTTGGGCCTCCTCAGACATCGGATCTCTCGACATGGTAGTGTCAGCTCTATCCCCATTAGTTTTTTCATGCTTTCAGATAATACGAGGATGTCTGCTTTGTGAATGGTTTTTGCTATTAGTGGGAAAATCAGCATCTTCTCCAGGTCTACTAGCAGCACAGTCTCTAGCCATTCTCAATATGCCATTTCTGCGTTGAATGGTGGATCCCCTTCTTTGCTCCCCTCATCTAATAAAGTTGATGCAGTGTGTCCAAAATTATTTCTTTTCATTATGTTCCCCAAACGAAGGTTGGGAACATAATAATTTTACTTTGTTTCTTTTTTCTTCTCTGATACTTGTCCGCGTTTGTTCTCGGAAACTAACCATCCGGTTGATAGGAATGTTTTGTAGATGATTGTGCAGAACGAAGATCATTTTGCACACACACACATGCTTGCACGTCTATGCATATGCGATAAGTGAAATGACTGATAAAAGTGAAATAGCTTTCAACCATTGTATTTCTATGCCCCGCCATGAATATGCCAGGGCATATAGTTTTTGTAATGTCCGTCTTCCGTCCTTCCCTCTGTCCTTCTGTCACACTTTGCGTTTAGCTCAGCTTCAAAGAAATTTTTCAAGAAATTTTTTCTCAAACTTCATATGCTGATACATATTGATGATTGCTGTACATTTTTTTTATGACCTTGACCTTTCCTTTGACCTTGACCTCACTTCTCTCAAATTTGTGTTTAGCTCAGTTTCAAAGAAACTATTCCAGATATTTTTATATAAGCTTATGCACTGATGCATTTTTGGTGAGAATTTATCAACGGTAAGGTATTTTTTATCAAACTTCATACTTCAATTATAATTTTCACGTTGCATCACTAATGAACCCTGGGCGGGGCCTTCATATTCTATCGACATATTTCTAGTTTATGAAATATTTTGAAGCTCAATGCATTTAAGGAAAAGAGTATTATTTTCCCAAAGAACTATATACAAACCTTGTGCCCTCTCAGTACTTTACTAATTCAATTTCAGACAAATCTTTGGAATGGTATGAAACTTTTTTCTAAGTGCTTATAATAAACTCGAAAAAAAAAAAAAATAAAGAGTCCCATGATGTTTATAAGTCAAAATTGCAGTTGTTTACAACTTAGAGCGATCAGCAGTAAATAGAGGTCTAAAAAAAAAAAAAAAAAAAAAAAAAAAAAATATCAAAACTCCCCTCGTACAAACTCCCCTGGTATTTCTTTAATTATACCTCCATTCCATCTTTTATTTCAAACATTAATATTTTAAATTAAAAATGATTATAATTACATAGCTGAATTCAATCAATCAGGTAACGCACACTTTTCAGTACACTATTCTACTTTCATAACGAACAAATGATGTAAACATCCGGGGCTTTGGTACTGTCATTCCATATACAAATATACGCAGTCAAGACAAAATGACATTGTTGAATTAGCATACACATGTACACACGATTGGCTGTTACGAAAACCTCAATAACTTTTTTTAAAACAAAATATATCTACTCTGAAATTTTTAATAAAAGTACAAATTATGGGGTTCTACAATACGGCACAATTTCACTGACTGAAACTTTAAATGACCATAACTTTCTTCAATAAAACATGACTTAATTTAGGATATAGATTCCTACGTTGTGATATACCATGTATTTTGAGTGGCTTATACTTTAATGACCGTAACTTATTTTCTTATCAATGCAATGGTATAAGATTTAACACAGAAGTATATACGTATGAGACACTTTAGGATCTAGAAAACGTGCAGGAACGTGCACTGAAATCTGAATCTTTTCAATGACAAAAGACAAAATTCAGCGTTTAAGCAATTTATATGCATCCTTGCACTATGGTATCATGAAAATAAACACAAGCACATGCATATGGCTGAATTATGATTGAATCATTTATAATTTACAATTAATTCTTTGAATTTTGATATGCTGCCCTTTATTTTGAGATACTATAAGGAGACAAATATGACAATTCTTGAAAACATGCCCATTCATTTGCTCAAAATTCCGATTGGCTAACATTCTTATGGCTATGTCTACTAGTTATACAAAATTACTGCCTACTTTTTTGACAATTATTGGAAATGGGGCACAATGAGGGAGCAGGGGAGCCTTTGGAAAGCATCTGTAACAGTTCCCATTACAATTAGTACTAGTTTAATTTGTTTTGTTTCCAATACATATTTCAACATGTAATGATATCAATAATATTGTCAGAAACCTCTTATGTTGTGTTATCTGCATAAATCTGTACGGTACTGTAATTCATTTATACATTCTTGAGTCATTTAAATATATTAAAATAAGGTTCTATCTATATTGATATCCTTATCAGACTGAATTCTTTCCGCGTAATACGTTCTCCAAGCTTGATAGATATGATTTGAACCAAATACAACACTCCATCATTATTTGCACGAAAGATAAGAGCTACTTTCGATTTGTTTTGTGTTTTGCATCATGGTCTTTTGGAGATTGATAGCATTCTGCTGTCTATTTACTTGGGTATCTGGGTTTGAACCTTTTTCAGTTTCTGGAGCTATTGGAGCAGCATTAGTGACTGGAATATATACAGTTTTTTCACCAATTAAATGTCATTTACAAGAATGTTGTACACCAAATTGGATCAACCTTAACACCACAGGTTATGATGTTTAAATTTAACAGCTCATTTTGAAGAATTCAAATATTTATCAAATTTAAACATTTCAAATAATCACATATTCTTTTATTTTATCAAGCTTTGATAATAAATTGAAAGGTAATACTTTGATTTTCCTTCTCTTGTTTCAAAGAACTACATGTAAAGCGTAAAGCATGTTAATTTTATTCAGTAAAATATTTTTATGCCTTTGATAAATATAGCTCTTCAAAGAGACCTACAAGGAAGACTTTATGGGCAACATTTGGTGACTGATATCATCTTCAAGAATCTGAAAGCACACATGACAAAGGATCCATCAAAAGCACTTGCTTTCTCCTTTCATGGGAGTACAGGGACGGGAAAGAACTTTGTCAGTAAAATAATTGCAGAAAGCATTTACAAGAAGGGAATGAAGAGTAGATATGTCCACTTGATATCAGCAACTAAAGAATTTCCGCATAAAGATTTGATTCCTAGTTATAAGGTAGGCAGAAGATCTTGAGGGGTAATTTCAAAAAAAGAAAAAAAATATTTCAGTTTATTTTGAACTTAAATATATTTTTTTCTTTTTTGAAATTACCCCTCAAGATCTTCTGCCTACCTTTTGTTCATCATGATACACCTTTATCAAAAATTGATTTTCCTATTTATACCTGTTGTGTTGAATATTCTTTTAGGATAAACTGCAAGAATTAGTAGAGAGCAGTGTTAAAGAGTGTGCTCAGTCTTTGTTTATCTTTGATGAAATTGACAAGATGCCATCTGGAATAATTGACATTTTAAACCCATACCTGGATTTTTATGAGCAACTTTCTGGCACTGACTACAGAAATGCTATCTTCATATTTCTCAGGTGGGCAAAGATAAGAAGTTAAAATGACTAGAACTGCAGAATGTTGTGAGATTTGCTATGGTGTATTGTTTGTAAACAATTGAAAAACAAATTAGCGACACTTTTTGATTTTATAAAATGAAATGTAGTAAATACTCTGAAATCTAATGCGAATAGTTTTTTTGATGTCATAGGAAAGAAGAAGGATATTTATATACATGTAATAGCTATATATGCATGCCCTCCTCCCCCCCCCCCCCCCGAAAAAAAAGACGAGTAGACAAACTCTATGCGTATTTACATATTTTACCTTAGTTTTTTTAAAAGTGCTTGCACCTGCAGGTATAGCAGCTTAATTCTTGAACAAAAATTTCCAAGACTTGTTGCACACTTACTCTGTACTAACTGAATGCATAAAAAAAATCTCAAGTAAAGGTACAAAGTACTATTGGTTAACAAGTAAAAACACAGCGATTTAGAAATACTTGGCATAGTAAAGTGTGTAAAGTTTGTGTTTTAAGTCTTACTGTTTGCTATCTGTTTTCGTCCGTCGGATGTAAACTTTTGAACATTTTCAGCTTCTCTTGAACCACTGAACCATTTCCAACAAATTTTGACATGTAACATCTATGGGTGAAGGAGTTCAAAACTTCTTCTCTCTCTTCTCCTGGGTATTAAGCAGGTAAACTAAATGCAAGTTTATGATGAGCAAGGCTGCCTCTTTCGAAATCGTGAATATTATGGCTCTTGCAATTGGTAATGGGTTCTGGTGTTCTTGTGGGGTTCTATTCAATATATAGTGAAAATGCATTATTTCTTCGAATATCGTTGTACATTAAATGTTCTTCAAACACCGAGAGAGGCCAGTATGACATAGTATGAGATGGGCTTACTAATAGTGCCCAAGCACTATTGTTTTGTTTAGTGTGCATGGAGAGTGACAAATATGGGCAAGTCAGGCAAATAATAGGTTTTCTTTAAGATTTGTTATTTTTTACTGAGTACTAGACTAATTCTATTTCTTTTGCTTATGGGCAACACTCTTTCAGTTGATTTTGTTTTATTTCATACTTTTATGGATCCTTTACAGTGTTGTTTTATGCTCAGGTTACCGTCAAGGCCCTTGAACCTCTTGATTCAAAAGTAGGAATTGTTTTATTTTTATAAATATAAACATTAACTTTGTTTAGCCTTATTTATCCGCATTGCGACATTTTTGAAATACACTACATGCGTACATGCGTAAAAGCTAATTCTATTCAATTCTCGACAATCATTCATTTTACGATTCAAAACCACGGATGCCGACGTAGATATTTTTCCTCATTCTACTAAGTACACAATAAAATTTCCATAAATCAATGTGTCCGCGAACTTTTCTAACAACCTTTGTAAGTATATTAAATACATTTACACCTAATTATAAAACTGTTCTCTGTGGAAGTCTGTGTTGCCTTTTTAATTATCGAGCAATACAGTATACGTGTGTATGTTTAAAATAAATAGTATAGTATATTATTATAACGACAGAGGATGCTCATTCCTCCATGGCACCTAATCCCACGTCTGATGTTTAGATGTCCGTGTTTGCTCTGCTCCTATTTTGTAATGTTTAATGGACTTTTGAGCTCGAATACTGTTCGTTATCTCCGCATATTTCATAATATATAGTACATAATAGTATACTATAAAAATAAAAATAGGAAAATTCCAACTGACAAACCAGCAGGTGCACAATTCAATAGAAAAATTTAGTGACATTGGAGAAAACCCCTTTTGTGTTTCATTTGCTATTATGTTTGCAAATATTCAAGAGGTACCAGTGAGTACATGTACCTGTTGCTGAATTGTCCTTCCTGGCATATTCGCACCTGAGTCTTACATTGATTGAATCCTCTGTAAATTCTTACATGGAGTTTATGATAACTGTATTTATACTTGTACAAACATTTAGTCCCCCCTCCCCTCACACATTACCGCAGATGTTTCTGATATAACTCTATCTGGCTTCAAGTTTACAATGAATTTAACATAGCGTTGAAATCTATATGTGCAACTGCTTTACAGTTTTTTTTCAATTTTATATGTTATTGATAATTTAGGTGACTGTTAAAGATCATGGACTTTTAGTTATATTAATTTCAGCATGAACATCACTGAAGAGATATAATTTGTCGTAATGCACATCTAGTGCATCAAAATTGGAACCGTATAAGATTTACATTTGTTTGATTTAATATCTTGAAACTTTAGCCCTATATATTTTTACTCGGAGATTTTTTTTCATTATTATATCCTAGGTATATTATATATATGTTTTAATTAGTATTTTTAAAACAGATTTTATACATTTACTTAACAAACTTTCCCAAGAAATCAAGATATATATAGATATATAGTCTAGATAAAATTAAGCACTAAAGCTTGATACAAGGAAATATTTTATTGCCCGTCTACAATTTCAAAACTCCAAGTATGATATCTTTTAGTGCAAAAAGATCAGACAATACTTATATTAATTAGCAGTGTTTTTTAGAAAAAATTCTATTATTTAAACCATTTTACAAAACATAAGATTACGTTCATTGTCATGCTAACACTTTGTAAAATGTGATAAAGGTTAAAGTGATTAACCTAAAAATTACAATTTATGTGCAAAAAGGCCAAGTAAGATGCATACTGACCCCCAATTAATGTGAATTTGAGTCATGCTATATGATTAGTTATCTAAAATATACTTCTCAAAAACATCCTTGATATAACTCATTTCACGAGTGACATAACTTAACATTTTTAGAAATTGATCTCTCGGTATTTTCCAAAACCCTGGTCCAATTCAAGTCCAAACCTGGCTCCAAGTATCCCTCGATAAAGGGTATTCTAATTGGTTTAACGGAAGGACCACATCCCATGAATAAAATTTTTCAAGAGTAGCAGGGCCACCTTAAGTCATATAATTATGCAAATATTTACATTTTCAACTTTTTTATGTCCCCGTATCGAAGATTCGGGGGTATATAGTTTTTGCCCTGTCCGTCCGTCTGTTTGTCTGTCTGTCTGTTTGTCCGCAAAAACTTTAACCTTGCCCATAACTTTTGATTGGTTGGAGCTATTGCTTTTTATAGCTATTGCTTTTATATTTCACATGTGTATTCCTCGTGACCTTTCTTTGGGTACCACCATATTTGACCTTTTGACCTTGGAGTTTGACCAAGTTTTGCAAAATTTACCAAACTTTAACCTTGGCCATAACTTTTGAACAATTGGTGATAGGGCTTTCATACTTTACATGTGTAATCCTTGTGAAAAGACCTTTGTTTGGATATCAACAATTTTGAGCTTTTGACCTTGACCTAGGAGTCTGACCTACTTTTGAAAAAAATTAACCTTGGCCATAACTTTTGAACGGTTTGTGCTAGGGCTTTCATACTTCAAATGTGTAATTCTTGTGACAAGACCTTTCTTTGAATACCAACAACTTTGTCCTTTTGACCTTGACCTTGGAGTTCGACCTACTTTTGGAAAACTTTAACCTTGGCCATAACTTTTGAACGGTTGGTGCTAGGGCTTTCATATTTCACATATGTAATCCTTGAAACAAGACCATTCTAAGATTACCAACAACTTTGACCCTTTGACTTTGACCTTAGACTTTGACCTACTTTTGGAAAACTTTAACCTTGGCCATAACTTTTGAACGGTTGGTGCTAGGGCTTTCATATTTCACATATGTAATCCTTGACAAGACCTTTCTTTGGATACCAAAACTTTGACCTTCACCTTGGAGTTTGTCCTCTTTTGGAAAACTTTTACCTTGGTCATAACTTGTGAACAATTGGTGCTTCGGCTTTCATATTTCACCTGTTTATTTCTCGGGAGAAGGCCTTTCCTTGGGCACCATAAATTTTGACCATTTGACCTTGACCTTGATGTTTGACATACTTTTGAAAAAAAAACTTTTACCTTTTCCATATCTATTCAATGGTTGGTGCTAGGGCTTTCATATTTCACAGGTTTATTGCTCAAGACAACCTTACTTTGGGTACCAACATATCTGATTTGCATTTGAGAAAATTTAACCTTTGCTATAAGTTGCCATACGGGAGCATCGGTGTTTCACAAACACATCTTGTTTTTGATATCTCTTTGAAAGTTAATTGTGTTTCTCGATATTTACAACTAAATGTAAATTTTCTCAAGTGAAAGATCAAATACCTAATATGCATGTAAATTTCCTGAGGTATGATTGTGTCTGGCGACACTCACTGTGAAGTAGAATATGGAAATTAACATGGAATGCTTCGTGTATCTCAATTCTATTAGACAGCATTTCATTTTTAATTAGGGTCTTCCGTCTCCAACGGAAGACCCTTCTATTATTCTATTGTTTCTTTTTCACTTTTATTATTATTATTATTATTCTTTTTTTTTCTTTACAATTTTTGTGCAGAAGATTTCTCGGAGTTGGCTCGATCGATTTACTTGAAAATTTCAGGGAAGATGTATCTTTGTCTGAACCTTATACGTTTTTCTCATTTTTTTGAAATTCACTTCCGGTCGGAAGTTATCGCCCTTTAATCAAAATTCAGAGGACCTCCTTGTCTGCAATGGAACTCAAAAACGATTAAAGCTAGAGTGCTGAAATTTTCAGCGATGATAGAGGATATGTTGCCATTGATCACCTGGGTTTTCAAATCTTCCGGAAGTGCCTAGTATGGAAGCTCGGTAGGGGTCAAAATTTAGGAAGCGAATCATGAGTGAATTTTAGAGACATTTCTTACGATAACTTTTTAAATATGAGTATTTTATTAAAACATATTGAACAGAAATTGTGTAGAATTACAAGATCTTTTATATGATATCAAAGAAAAAGGGCTGACTCATCACATTAGGGGCTGAGAAGGGCCGAAAGTCTTCAATCAATAACTCTTTAACGATCAATATTTTGTAATGCATTATTGAAGCAAAAATGTTTATCTCAACTATTTACAACTATATATTATGATATTCATATCATATGTTACATAATTAGGGACCATAAGG